ACGTTTTAAGTGTCACTGTCATTATGACATTATACAGGTTGTGTTTTTTTGCTACGGCTTCGCACGGTCTTAATTTTCATACAGCCTTGTTCAAAAACTCATGAAATGTTTTATATTACTTTTTAAGTTTTTTGGTTTCAGATTGAAAGACATGGATAATTGGACATAATATGTGATATATTCATTGGTTCTTTCCAACATATTCAAGTAAAAGCTATTCGCATAGTAATTCTTATATTTTTATTAGTAGTTATAGAGACTTCGATATTGACCTTGTTCCCTTAAAAACAATGAAAGAGATAAGCTACCAATCGGAAGGCTTTTTCTTCAATTTCTTGATCATCGTGGTAACCAATCACAATCGATTATCTTGGAAAAAGTTCGTGTTGAAGCTACTCTCTGTTTTCTTGTCGTATTTTAGAAATATGATTTAAGACTCTTTGACGTTGACAATGCTATTGCTAAGATATCGATTCCTGGACCCAGGATTCTCTGTTATTGGTCAGATTTTGTGTTTTATACCCATATTGTGCCAGCAATTCTATTTAGACCTATTACCTATAGTCTTAGCTGTTTCGAGTTTTGAATTTAGCAATTCAAATCAAATTGTATGTAGATTATCTATGGTTTTTGGAGACAAACTTCTATATATATAAAATAAAGTCGTATTAGTTACACTATTTATAACTCAAGAATGGCTTAATCGATTTGGATGAAATTTGGTGGGGAGGTAGCTTAGAACCAGGAGACGGACATAGGATACTTTTACCCTATTCTTTTTTTTACTTTTTACCGAAAATCAAGAACGGGAACGGGAAATATCTGGATTGCGCGTACGAAGTCGCGGGCAGAAGCTAGTTTATGATAAACAATCTCATTTGAAAAGTGTTAGTAGTCACAAATATTAAATGCAAAAAAAGATCTTAACTGAACATTTTACTAATAAAAACATCTGTCTAAGTCAAAGCAATTATTTCAACAATATACTTAATTAGGCACTTTTGAAACGTCAAAAAATTTTTATGTCCGTCCGCCTGCCTGTCATTCAGTGAAGCTAGGCGCTCATTCCAAAGTGTAGTTTCGAATGGAGAAGAAAGAGCACGAAACGCCATCATTACCTACTCTTAAAAAAAAGGATTTTATAGTCTCATTGATACATCATAGGCCCACAGGAAGAAATTCCTGTTGGAATATCTGGGGCCTATGTACTCTGTTTTTATATTATGTATTGTCCTCTGTGTTGAATATTGTACATAAATAAATTAATAATAAATCATCTGACCTTTTATCTAAGTAACAAACACCTTCAATTAAAACCACAACCCCCTTCTTCAAAAAAACCGTCACCTGAAATACCTATTCCATTCTAACTAACGCAATATCAAGGACAAATAAATCATGATGAGAATGTTCCAACAGGCCATATGAAGAAAGTGTTCTATTCAAGGTCAGTACACACCACGTACTGGGTCATTAGACCAGTGACCCAGAGCTGATCGTTATGCACTGGGCGAACTTCCGTGTGTCCATCCTGATGGGGAGAAAATGGACACGTGATGTGTGTAGTTGGAAATGGTTTGTGTCGATTGTTGTATGGATTTTTAAGTGCACATTGGAGTGATGTAGTGATATTTGATGTAAAAAGTGTTAAACTGTGGCGTGTTGTAGTTAGAGTATGATTTAATTATATAAATGTCTGAATGGAAAAGCTAATATTGTACTATAGAGCTGATGATGCTCTACAGTTATTCTTGAAACAATTAGATCGAAATAGCAGTAAAAGGTATATCACTTAAGTTTTAAAACATGCATACTTCGTAAAAATGTCTATTTTACTTACTCTTTTGTGTGATTTTTGGAAATTGTGAGGCTTTCTGCACTTCCTAAGGAACGTTAATTTAATAAAATTTTGAAGATTTGGTTGTGTATTCAATATCGCTACTTATTCACACAGTAAGGGAAGAGTCTCATTTATATTACCGTTTAAATACTTCACGACTCTCATAACATAACATCACGTCTTTTATCCCCGAAGATATACCACTGTATAATGTAACACCCACTTTTCATTATTTATGTTATATGAGTCCCATGTAATAGGGGGTGAGCCTAAAGCCACCTTCACGACTCAGTCTATAAGTAATATAGAGGTAGACTAAAAAATAGAACTACTCGTACTCCTTTTAAAAGGCCGGCAACGCACCTGTGACTCCTCTAGTGTTGTGGGTCTCCATGGGCAGCGCTGATCGCTTACCATCAGGTGATCCGCTCGTTTGCCTCGTATTCCATACAAAATATATAACAACACGGAACATCATCAGATAACCGATAAGGCTTTTCATTCATTACCAAATCACCTCGGAAAATCTTGATTCGAAGGAATCAGATAAAATCTGTCTAATCTGCGCATACCTTAGATAACACAAACGCGTCTAAGCCTAGACAGTAATTGTGTGAAAAAAAGGCATGTAACAGTTATTTTTTCTGTGATTCTGAATAGGCCGGTAACTTGCAACCATTGTTTTGTGGTTTTGCGCAATTAGAATTTTTCCCAAAGGGCTCCAGCGTTGCGTTGTGATGCGCTTTCGCAAATTGTGAAGATGCTTCAAATGGTTTATTGTTACCGCATATGTTTTTTTTATTTCCGTCGTTAAGTTAGTGGAGCAGAACTTGATAGAAATGTTTTCTTGGATAGATGAATACTTCTCTCTCATTTTTGTCTTGTAAAAATGCTTTTTGGTTGAATAGGTGCATGTGATTTTTGTCAATGGCATATACATTTGTTAGTCCTATTGTTTGATTAGGAAAAAGCTGCTAAAAAAACTACAACTGATCTAATCCTTACTAATATTATAAATCGGAAAGTGAGTTTGTTTGTTTGTTCCACTTTCACGCCGTAACTACTAAACCGGAAAAAATTGATATTCTCGAGGGAAAACGAAATTATTGGTATAGATAGCGCTGTGTTTATTGATATATGTCACATAGGCTACTTTTTATCCTTTTGTGACGCGAGCGAAGCCGCGGTTAAAAGCTAGTTTAGAATATATCAAGCAACTGAGCATGAATAAGTATATAATTCTACGGTTGAATAGTACCTAAATTATTATCACTTTATTCACGTAAGGTCAAAAGGTCAGACTCAATAGTTAGTATATCTTCTAGCACGTATTCTAAGGTACATCAAATAACTCTTTAAAAATAAATTTTCGAAATCTCCCTTCACTAAAACAATACCTACACCAATAAATCCTAAAAGTCTTAACCCTCTTTTAAACATTTAAACCAGTCTGTTAATAAAACATGACGGCAAACACGTACATACGATTTTCAACGAACAAAATTAATTTACGAATCCGACCAATCGACCTTGCTATACTTTAGTCACTCGGTAACTGAACTCGGTTACTTTCTACAATGCATCTGGGTTATCGTAACGAATTGTTATGAAACCGAGCGGCGTCGGATTATGGAACTAGTGCATTTAGTATTTGTTATCTGTTGTTGCTTAAATACGTGATAATTGGAGTTAATAAGTCGTTAATGGGCTGTAAAATACCACCGCTATTCTGCTCGTGGGTATCAGATGATCCAACAAAGAGACTTATTCAAAGTCAAAGCATTTATTTCAATAAAAGCATAATTTAGTACTTTTGAAACGTCAACAAATACAAAATAAATAATCGTCTGTCAGTCAGTCCATCAGTGAAGTTAGGTGAAGCTAGGTGCTCATTCCAAAATGTAGATTCGAATGGAGAAGAATGAGTAAGAAACACCATTCGTTACTCTTTTTAAAAAAGTATATTCTGCATTTATTTGACAGAGATCACCTATACCAAGCGTGAAGATAATGGCAAATCCCCTCCTAAATAAAAAAGATACTTATGTCAAATACTCAAACGTATAGCTCTGTCTCTACAAATTCTTTGTAAAATGACAGAGATGGCACGATATTTAATTACTACTTAATTGAGTAGCCTTTCAATATTCGGGCACTAGTCCTATTTTATTTTATGATAGTGATAGTAACACTGCCTCGTTGGCCGAGTTGTCGCAAGTGCGACTGCCGGGCAAGGGGTCTCAATTATCGGGTCGGGCTATTACTGGGTTTTAAAAAAAATCTGGGTTAACATGGAGTCTGCAAATGTGCCCGGTATATGGCAATAGGCTCTCCCCCTATTACATGAACTCATAACATAAATAGTGAAAAGTGGGTGTTACATTGTACAGTGGCATTAAGTGCCGTAATGTGCACCTCTGACTACCCCTTCGGCATAACAGGCATGATGTTACATAGCCATATATGACTGCCAATATTGTAAACTCCTCTATAGCCACGTACTTAGAAATTATGCCCAATTTGTTACTTTAGGTATTCAGGTGACAATAGTAGATTTGTCAGACTTTTTATAGAATTACAAACGTAATATTATTCTTCTAACACATATTAAAGACACAACGGTTACAAGTTTAATCTAACAGTTTTTTATGTAAATAGTCTGACATATTTATAACATCGATATGTTAATACGAATTCTTTATTTACTTTCATTTGGTCAGTTGACGGTCTTGAATATTTTATTAGCTTTGGTATACTTAAAAAACTTGGTCAGTATTGTATTGTTCTTTGAATAAAAAGAAAGTGTCAGTGGCATATGTTGGTCCATTTCAAGGTTATTTTTTTATGGGATAAGCTGGGAAACGAGTAGACGTATCACCTGATGCAAAGCAATCGACGTCGCCCATGGACACTTGAAACAACAGAGGTGTTACAAGTGCGTTACCGGCCTTTTGGGGATTCGGGTTGTTGGGAATTCAGGTATTGGGGAGATTGGGGATGATTAATAAAATACTGAGCAAAGGTTTTTGAGATTTTCGGTTGAGTCTGTAGTGTTGCATGAAACCGAGCGATATGGACGCCATTGGGGCAGGCTTCGAATCAGCACTAGTCGCTTTATGATTATAAATTGTAGTGTTATTGTAGTAATACATTTATTTTGTTTAAATATAACGGTTTTGTTACTACCTTAACTAATTCAATTTTCTTTATTTGTTACAGAAATAAATAACGATGAACAAATAGAATCTTCAAGGATAAAGAGGGAAGGAGTTCCCGAAAACAGGGGTGAGTTCTCGTCCTTCTTGGTCACTCTTTAGTAACTTCTGTAAAATACCCTCTCTGCTTGAATGATTTGAATGCTTGAGTAAATAAAATCTTTTGTCAAAAACGTATGTTTAGCAATCCTATTTTCTGTTATCTTTTTCTTACATTTTTAACACATTTCAAATCTTTTTTTAACCTAAAACAATTCGAGTTTGTATATTTATACGAGGTTTCTGATGTTTTTTTGCAAAAACGATTTCAACATTGAATGAGTCTTGAGTGTAATTTTACACTCAGGTGTTAACAGAATTTAAAGACCGTTAAAATGTCTGCAAATAAATCATTAACATACTTGTATAATTACTTCAAAATACTTTAAAACATCGTAAACCTCAATCTTGAACGAGAAGCTGTACAAAATTAGTGCTAACTGTATGCAAATTATATCTATTAGCATCTCTTTCTATTCTACTTAAATTGCATTATTAATTGTATGTTTTTTCTTTCTCTTTCAAATCTAATCCTGTGGTTCGTGGAACAACTCAAATGGACTTTGTAAAATATAACGCACCTCCATGAAAACCCTACCCACATGACGCTGACTATGACTTTTGACCACAGACTTGACCGTCCTCCTTGTAAACCAGAAGAGGAATGACTATAACACGAAGATCGGAAGGTACCACAGTGTCAAACCACTCATCGGCCTACTGACATCGACGGCGAGGACGTTCATCCAAGATGGTGTCACCACGGAGTACGCCACCCAGATCCTGGGCACCACCTTAGATAACGGCCGCATTTACGCTCAGCTTCTAACGAAGTCTTCTCTAGTACTTTACAATAAGCCGACCAATGTAGAAGACCCTGTTATTGTCAAACCAACCCGCATACATTCAGCTTTCGATGGCGAATGGAACGTCAAGCAAGATTTAGGCTTCATCGATCCTGAAAAGTTCGTGCTTAAAAACACTGACTATCTGGCGCCTAGTAGTAAAATGGAAATAGTCTATGCTAGCAAGCCAGCCCAAGACAGTTTCAAATTCTGGAGTCCTACTGCTCCTGAAAGTCAGGCTGAAAATCAAATATTTGATGAACCCACAGGTCGTAGAGTACAGCCTGTCAAAGAGATCCCGCGATATGTACAAAATGAAGCTTTAAATTTCCTTGACGGTCCATCTATCGATAGCGACAAAAAGTTTGAATTTGTAGTAGAGCCATCTATTGTAGAAAATGTAAATACATTCAATAGACAAAGTAAAGCATACGAACCGGTCACTGAACCAATTAAAGAAGAACCTCGTCCGAAACCTGAGGTTTTAGACGAAGTCAATGTAGTTAAAGTTAAACCTACTTACGATTTACCGACGTTCACAATTAAGAACGAATTTTCGCCGATATTCTATTATATCGATAATGTTGAGTCTCGTCGACCTCAGCAGCAGGCGGCGCAGCAATCGAAAATACCTAAAAAGTTATTTGGTCAAAAGAGTGAACCTAGACCAAAGAAGACTTTCACTTACGCGGGCTTTGCTGACTTCACTACTGTTGTTGGTGACACAGTTATTATATTTAGTCCTAACACTGAAACAAGTCGACCCCAAAATCCTGACGAAGTTAACGTCTTCCCATCCGCTAATCGCATTGACAAATTGTCCACTAAAATAACTTTCCTTGCTGCTGATATTCCTGTCGCTACATCCACTTACAAGGCTCATGAAGCTAAGTCAGCAACCAGAATTCCTGGACCTGCTGTAGTAGATGAGAATAGGTCCGACAAAGCTCTTTTCAATGACGAGGAAAGCCTAAAAAAGGTTTTGTATGAAGTTGATGATAAGATACCCGATGTTGTTAGCGTTCAATATAACAACGGATTTGATTTAAATGTTGATGTCATTCAACCCTCTGAATCTCCCATAACTACTACAGAAAGTACTCGTACCACTGACGATTTGGGTGTTATTCCAATTAATGATTACTCTAACTCTGAGGCAACTGAGCCTTTGGCGACTTTATCTCCAACAACAACGATCTTGGAAGCGCCTAAAGAATCAGCTGTAACTGAAAGTGACATGTCTGAACTATTCACTAACTCAGAAGAAGAGTCTGAGAACACTGCCGCTGAAATAACAGAGAAACCTGAAGAAGAAGAGGAGGAGGAAGAAGAAGATGTAACTACTGAAATGCCAGACTTTATGACTACTACAGAAAGTGGTCACAGTGAAGAATCTTCTGAAGAAATGGAAACCACCACAGAGTCTAAATTTACAATCCCTGAAACACAAGAAGATAGTAATGAAGATGCAATGGATGATACTCAAGAAGTGGTTTGTACTGAAGGTTTTGAAACTCAATCTACAATGACGACTGCCTATAAAACTTTGACTTACTTGACGACTTATTTCATACCTCTTGAGAGCACAGAAACTACAACTTCGATCAAGTCAGATGTAGTGGTCGAGAGTAACACCGGTTTCTTGACAAATGTCATTTGTAGGACAAATATGAATATTGAACCGACAGCTGTCGTAAATGTTGACTATTCTGTTGAAACTAAATCCAAAATCGTAGAATCAGTTCCCGAAGAACCTGCTAAATCTTCTGTAGAGCCTGAAATAATAACTGAAAGTCCAAAAACTACAACGCAACAACAAGAAATACAAACAACAGTTCAAGATGAACCAACAACGGGAACAGTTCAAAGTTCGGACGAAACTGAGGAAACAGTTGAAGAGAAAGAGCCCACTACAACACCTTCTACCACTACAACAACAGAAAGAATTACAACAAGCCAGGGTCACGTTGAAGTGTCTGTGAGCACTGAACAAACGACTACAACTACCACCACGGAAAAGGCAACGACACCAGAAGAAGTAGAAGACTCAGAAAACGAGATTGATGTAATCTACAAAACACTTTACACAACTTATACTTACTTCACTACCTTCTTCGGTGACCAAACATCGAGCGTTGCAAGCCACAAATCTGTTGTCACTAACATCATTACATCGACAATCGATCTTTCTAAATTAGATCCATCACTATTAGGAGCATTCAACGAGGATGAGATTGCACCAACCAGTGTGGGTATAGGCAGACCTACAGAAATATTAGCTATTAACAGTGCCATCGATCTTGTTAAGAATAAAGACGTCCTCGAGTCCGTTGAAGTAGATGATATTTATAGCTCTCAGACACCCACGCCTTCATTAGGTGACGATATCATTGCAAGTATAAAGCCTGATGCTGTCAAGACATATTACACCACTTACACATTCTTCACGACTATTTATGTCGGCAGTGATGCTAACATTTGCAGCAGAAATGAAATCTACACAAATTACGTTGGACCTGATGAACTTATTCCCACAAAGGCTAATCCATTAGCAGTGGAGAACACAAGAGCTCAATTCGACTTTAGAAACTGCAAACAAATTAAAATGGAACAACCTCCTAACCAACAAGAAACTGCATCAATGGAAACCAGTGTTAGCATGGAAGAAGATAAAGAACAATCTTCCGTAGATTCAAACCTGAGGTTACACCAGATCCTAGTCCGATTGAAGTGGACATGTTGTTCAGTGTAGAATCTAATCCTTTGGAATCCGAGAACTCTTACGTCACTGACATTAAATCTTCCTCTTCCAAAGGAGAAAGAAAATTCCTTGATAATAACAACATTATTTTAGATGATCAGATCAGCTCAGAAAGTAATATAGATGAGATCTTACCATCACCTACTCTATTACTGCAAACAAGTTATACTACATTTACTTATTTCACAACAATGTACATTGGCAAGGATTCTAGTAAGGTAAAGAGTCGCTTGGAGACAATTACAAATGTGGTCACGGAAACTATCATGCCGAACAAGGAACCTGAAGAAGAAAGTAACCTTCCAATTACTTACTACACGACATTTACTTATTGGACCACTCTGTACAAAGACAAGTCTACTACCATCACAAGTCGCGAAGAGATCGTATCAAATGTGGTTACACCTGTGGCTCAATCGGTTGCAACAATCAGTCCTATTGACACTACTCCTATTGATGTAGACACTAGTCTGCCACCTAAAGATTTAGAGGTAGAACTAAAACCATCTTTAGTCTCAGACAACCTTGAACCTGATGATGGCAAAGCCACATTCTATACCACGTACACATATTTCACCACCTTCTACGCTGGTAACACTTCCCAGGTTAGAAGCAGCTTAGAAACTGTTACAAATATTGTTGATAACACAAAGCTAGTTGAAGATAATCAGCTTGGTAGGAAAGTACCAGTCGGTGCAGCTGATCAGAACTTGATTCAAGATAATGGAGAGAAACCACACATAGCTCCAACAGTAGTAAAAGAACAAATAATTCCCACAAAACTACCTGATGCTTCTTCAGTTCCTGGTACGGTACTTCTAGGCACATACATTGATAATTTGTTTGCGGAAGTGAAACCAGCAGATAAGCCATCCACACCTGCTCCAGAAGGAGAAAAGAAGATATTATTCTCTCAAGTGGCTGTTATATCTGGTGACTCAACTGTTGTAACTGCTGACAACAAATCTTTGACTATTGACACGAGTAGTTCAACAACTACAACAACTGAAAGCAATATTATCAGTCCCACCCCGGAAGTAATTGAGAGTTCTGTCGCTGAACCTGATCCTACGACTGAAACTCCTAATGAGTCTGAAGAAGAAGAAGATGATAGCACTAACACCAGAAAGAAGTCTCGTCTTACATTTACACCTAAGAAACCATCCACTACTCCTGTGATTATACCGTTTGCTTCAAGGAATCGACCAACATTTATTCCTAAACGTGTTCCATTGTCTAGTGGAGCCACAACTATCACACGTGCAGACTTCACACCACCTGTTATCACTGCTACACCAAGTTTGAAATCAGTTAAAACATCTGGATTTAGTGGTAACAGAAAACAATCAGCGTACCCTGGTTCTTCAAGCGCAGGAAAGAGGTTCCCCGGCCGTTCTAGTGTCAATAACCCATCTGCTAATGCACCGCAAGCATCAAGACCAGGAGGTTTTGCTGTTAGAGGAAGCATTCAACCTACTTCTAGACGAACTGGTTTCAGATCTAGTTCAGGTCGCCCAAGCAGCTTGGATTATATTAACAGATCCGCAGCACCAAGAGTGAGGCCCACTGCCTCAAGTAGGCTTCCTCCAGGTAGAGTTAGGCCATCAGCCTCAATTACATTCTCACCAGATCAGAATGATGAAACTTTGGCAACACAACAGGAAGAAAACGCAACCGAAGCATTAGAAGAGGTTTCTGAGGCTCCGGCTAGAACAACAAACAACCCTTCTCAGGTTTAGACGACCACCTGTTCCTAGACAACCTGGTACAGCTATCACTCCTAGGTCAACCACTGCTTCATCCAGAAGGGCAGTCACCCCTCGTGGTAGACTAACTACGACAACTAGGAGATCAACAACCAGAACTACATCTAGTCCACTTCTATCGTTACGTAGAAATAGACCAAATGCGCTTTTCCCTAGAAGAAACTTATTTAGACAACCAGAACCGGAACCTGAAGAAGAAATTAAAGAGGACGAGCAAAAAGTAGATGAGAGCGAAGAAATCTTGGAAGAAGAAGAGTTTGAAGAAGACAACGATTATGACTCATCTGATAGGAAGGAACGTCAAGTAGCACAGCCACCTCCTGCTGTTGCTCCTAGGAGAAATATAGTACAAATAAGGCCATTTGCTTTTAAACGGCGCTCAAAACGTCAAGCCGACTATGGAAACAGGAAATATACAAACTTTAGAAGACCAGGCACTAAGACCACAACCACTCGACGACCTGAACCTGAAACTGAAGAGCCAACTACACAAAAAGTGAGACCTGGTAATCGTTACAATGGACGTACGTCTGGCTCTGGAAGAACAACAACCGCTGTAGCTCCTAAATCAAACGCACGTCAACCATTCGTTGTTCGTGGAGAAACTAGGACTACTACTACCACTTCTGCTCCAGCATACAGAAGAGGAAAGTCATCTCGACCATCATCAAGAACAACTACTACTTCCTCCAGACCCAAGCCACCTAAGACTCCCAAGTCCCCTAGGTTAAATAAAAATTCGTCAGGCGCTAGAACGAGTACTTCTCGTAGTTCAGGAAGAAGCTCACGAACACGTACCACTACCAGCAGAGCCAACAGCAGGCAAAGGAGTTCCTTCGAAAACTTCAGTGGTGAACGCTTCAACGCGAAAAACATTCTAAACGATGGAAAGATCACCATCACACATCAAATACCAACCGAAGTAACAGTGCCAATTGTGAATGGAAAGATTACTGAGTACAAAAACTTGCTATCAGCAACACCTAGTCTAGAAACATTACTGCTTAACCAAGTATCAACTTCATTCGGACCTTTAGGCAACCCACAACTGGTGCTCGCTGCTGAGTCTACAGAATTAGCTGACAATGGAGCCACTAAAATCATTAAATACTTATTACATGAAACTCCTACAACTACCGTAATTTTCACACCTACTACTATCAGAGGTCGTAAGACATCCTTCTCCCACGTCCTTCCTAGTACTGTTTACAACGTAGAGCCAGTTACTCAGACAATTGCACCAGAGATTAACTCGAATGTTCCTCTCGCTAATCTTTTGCTTTCACAACTGTTGCTGGGCAACCAGCAACCGGCGATCAACCCATTCCTTGCTTTACAAGGACAGGGCTTGATTCCCCAACAGCCAATAGTACAAACTCCAGTAACTGAATACAAAACTCGCACGACTACCTACGTGACCACTGTTACAGATGCTAGGGAGACTGTATTACCTATCACGTTTAGAGGCCAGGCCATTCTGACAACAATTGTTGACCCTACAACCAATGTCATTACAGCCACTGAATTTATCACTGATACTGTAGTGACTACCCCTACCGTAGCTCAGGCTCCTCAACTCAACTCGTTACTACTTCCTCTACTTCTCCAACAACAGCAGCAACAACAACAACCCGCTCTGAACTTACAAACTGCCAATCCCTTGTTAGGTTTAGGCCAAGCAGATCTTGCTGCCTTAGGTGGCCTTAATGGCTTTAACAACTTAAACCTGTCACCAAATTTGAACCACCAAAATAATTTGAACAATGACATTTACAGTAATAGTCCAAAACCAAACATACTGTCTGATTTGAATAGCAATGAGGACTTTTCTGATGATACTGAGGTACAGGATACTGAGGAAGATCTTCCACCACCACCACCGGCTGCTCCATCCCGTAGGAAGTCTCGTCCTAAGCCTGCTGCTGCAGCTGCCCCTGTAGGTCCTCCCAAACAGACCAGCGTAGTGACTTTATACGTATCAGGTAGACATCCTGGTGAATTTAGCACAGTACTGTCAACAGTTGTAGCAGACGACACACAGACAGTAAGAAAACGCGAAGCCATATATTACGATAATGTTCAAGTGCTGCCATCTTTACTGCCAACGATTAGTGAACTTAGCGGGTCTTATCTAGACAGTGGCATTGTTTCAGATACTGAGAAGTATTTTAACAATGCTTCGGTTGAGAATCAAGTGGAGACACAAAGTCTAGAGAGTATAGTGGGGGAGGTCAGTAAACACATTAGGTATGACGCGTCACCAACATATGTAGTGAGTGCAGCCAGCCCATCCGCCACGAGGGACCTAAGGCAAAGTTCAATTGACGATGTCTCGTGAAATCTACAAATGGTTAGGTGTATAGTAATGGTTTAGTTATTTATTTCGATTGTATCATAGTAAGTTAACTATGGAATAGTGCCTTATAGATTTAGTTTAGTTTTAAGCACGAAATACTCTTTTGTACTTGACTAGATATTAACATGTTAATATAAGTTCACCAAAAATGTTATTTCCTATGTTACCATAATCAGTGTGTTGGGAGAAAATTGTTGGGTAACGATTACTCACTGCCTAAGATAAGTCTAGATTATCATATTTACCTTTTAATACTCGTTCTTCTTGCTTACGACTGTACATTGCAAATACGACTTAAAATTAAAACAATAAAATGTATAAAATTTAATTCTGTTTTTTCTTTCATTCGATTTAAAGAACACTGATGAAACTCATAAGATAATCCTGAAATCTATTTAAAAACTCTGCAAATATCAACTATTATTTAATCAACACCGCTGTTACAACTACACGGCACGACACAATTCCAGATACTTACAAAAAACATACGATGTAAGACACAATCACACAACTCATTCCTCCTACCTTCCACCCACATCACAAAGACTCGACAAGATGACCTGACAAAAGACCAGAAGACTGACAGACTGGACTGCATCAGAAAAACGAAGATCCCGAAGGTTCCCAATGACGGATGGTTCCATACCCACATCCTGCGACTTCCAATTTTGGAGGTGAGTGTAATTAGTGTTTTGTTAATGATAATTACAATAATACACTAGTCACTAGATTCTTGAATATTTACAGCATAAAAGTTCAGAAAAGAATTAGAAAACAGTTAATAAAGAAGTCGGTTAAGAAAACAAGAATATCAAAGATGTAAAACAAAACGTAAAATATGAAATGCACGAAAAATATTCAAGGACATCTAATAATATCCTAACTGAATTAGATGTAAATAGAGTAACGATTAACACTAATATAATAAAAGACACTAAAACCACACTCATAGATATAGAAATTACCAATAAACAGAATACAATAATAAATGTAGATAAAAACTAAAATCCAGATAGAAATTACATAAGACATTACAGAAAAAAGTATAAACAGTCTGCATGTGGTTGAAACGACACCGGCGCACGCGCACCCCGTCACGCGATTCCGCATAATTGCAATAATAACAAGGTATGAAATGAAATAGATTCGTGACGTCACAATCTATTAGTCACATGTGTTGCTAATGAAAATTCTGATCACAATCTTAATATAGACAAGGCGTTGCTATTAGTTTTTCATTATGATCTTTATTAGTTTAAGTATTGAGTTTTAATTACCGTGGCATTTTTTTCTATCTTTGATAGTTTTATTCTTACCTGGTTTAACGTCTTCATGCTATAAAATTTTTAATGATTTAGTCTTTGTAATATCTGTCTAATTAGTTGTTAAATTAGTTAAGTAGTTTTTAGTTAATTACTAACAACTTTGCACAAATATATATTTGTTTTTCAGAAATGTTATGCTGTAGAATGGGCTTTATTGTGTGTCACCGGAATACAAAAAATCTGGTGTTTTTTATTTGATTTCACATAAATTAATTTACTTTCAAATAAATCCATAAATAAGGTTTTTGCTTCAGATATTGTTGCTAATTTGATTAAAGTTAATGATTTTATTGATGATGTTATTAAAGAGAACAATTATTATAATAGTAATTTTAATATTCCAGCATTTAACACAAATGGTATTGTATATGATAATACGCCTTGGAGACCAGGAAGAGACATGGATTTAGAGGCAAAGGAACCTGAAGAGGATGAGAGAAGGTTGAAAAATCTAGCCACAAGGATAATGTCTAACGGAGTGGAAGTGTTGGTCAAGGATAAAAATGCTGATGGAAAGCAAGAACAGGTACAACATTTTATTTATTTTAATTTATTAAATGTTATAAATTAGAGCTAAAAAGTTAAAGATTTTGTTCTTAAATTCTCGTATTGTTGTAGAAGTATCATAATACAGAATATTTCATTCACTATTCATCTTGTAGTAAATTTTAAATTAGCATTCATTTCATTTTCATCTACGCTTTTTTCTCAGCGCAAACTTAAGCTCATACACGCCACTTCGTTACAACCGTACCACAGTTCATCTTCTGCATCAAAACAATTGCTATCATCTGCAGTCGCCACTGTCGTCAGTCGTCAGCAAATAAGCGCTCTCTTCCCCTTACATCAGCTCATGCAACATAACTATATCATCAAGACCTGTATGACCACTTACACATATTTAACAACCGTGGTTCAAAACAAAAGGAGTGCTATATCTACATTTGAGACCATTGTCTCAGTTGTCACTACAGAATCTCTAACCAATCTTTATGATACTGATGTTATACCAGACTTAAAGCCGACAAAAGTAAGATTTGGGACCCTGGTTGGTCAATATCCAAGTGATTCCGTTATTCCGAGCTATTTCACCCATGCACCCCATTGTAGCCCTGTACTTTAACATTTTTCTTTTCTAAAATGTCTGTAGTATTTTAACTTTTTGTAGTTAGTTAACACTATTCTTATTAATACTTAACACATTTATTCATCTCTCGTAGTTTATTAATCTAATAAAGACCTTTTTATTTGATCCCGTTATATTCGTGTAAAATTATGTTCATTTGTAATATCATTACTAACTAAAATTTTAAACTATTTCAGACTAAATACATGGAAGTAAAGACCATCCAACCTTCAGCAGCGACCAACATGTACATGAGTAGTTACCCAAAAATTGATAAGCGGATTGATAGTGCAGAAGAGGACAGTAACGGTTTCGATCTCATCCAGCCTTCAGAAGTCAGTAATCCACCTTGCACTAGTTCCTGCTCCTGTAGTAACACAAAGACAGAGGGTTTGCAGACCAAATACAGCAATATTAACTTTTCTGGATCATCGAGCAAATATGGAATGAAAACAACGAATTATGGTGCCACGAAATTAGATTTAAGACCAACAAATAAAGAATCTATTGACAAGAAAACAAAGTATGGACCTTATGAATACGAAACTAATTCCCATTTAGCCCCAACCGACAAAGTAGTAGAAAAATATACAGAAGTCATCAACGATTACTCAGATGAAAAAGATTCGAATTCAGTCGAAGAAAGTGAATTGTTGACAAATGAACAGGCACCAGCGCCACCAAAAACCAATAAAGTAAATACGAAAGTTCCAGAAAAAACGAAACCTGACAAACCACAAAAACCAAACAAAAATAAGTTTGTTGTTGCTGATCTTTTGAAATTAGGCACTTTGGGAATTAAAGGTCTGACGCAATTAGCACCAGTTATTGAGAAGATGACAGGTGGTTTCATAAAACGACAAGATACACTCAATAAAACCACAACTACGACTGTCAAGCCTGCTGTTAAGTTGACAGCTTATACTGCAAACAAAAGAGTAGACAGCGATTTAGACGGCAAACATAGTAACTTTCCAATATACATTCCAGTAGACGAATTAGAAACTTCAGAATCTCAACTTGTGTTTACCAATGCTACATTACATCAGAACTTGGCGTGGGCAGCCGAACATAAGCAGCCTAAAGCACACATTGTCCCACCTAAAATTGTGCACGAAAGCCCACTTGTCAACGGCGGTATACCCATTAGTCCAGGTGAAATAATAACGGCCAACTCAGACGTCATTGTTGGGAAACCAGCCGTGGGTGGACCTTTAACCTTGGCCGCGAGTGGAATTAAATTGCAAAACTCTGTCAATCCTCCGCCTATTGATAGCTTTATTGCAGCGAACGAACAATACTTCGTAAACGAGAAACCACTTGGTGATCAACCGCCAAGTGATGACTCTTATGATTTGAGGCCACCTGAGCTACCCAAACCAAATTCGAAACCAAACAGGCCTATGCCAAGACCAATGCAGTCATTTAATATTCAAAATTCTGCTCCTAATGACAAATATCCGTATCGCATGCCAGCGAGCATACATGATCACTTAATGAAAACTGAACAAATTAAGACCAACGTGCCTGTATTGAGCAATCATGGTAGGCCAGCATTTTTAGATTACATTCCATCTTTGGCAAAACCTACTAATGCTCCTATTAAACATCACACTGATTTTAAACCTGTGAATGAAGCTAATGTTGAATCTGTAGCTGACAACAGCCCAAGTTCTTCTGAGGTTGTGAACACACAATAAGAACGGAGAATAGTTTTACAGTGGCAGGAAATGTGGAATCTAATAAGCCTTTCTTAGTTGACATCCAACCTTCAAGAGTTGCGAACGTACTCATTCCACATGGCAGCTCTACAGCTTTAGTATTTGCTGGATCTTCCGAACCACATAAAACTGGGGACTATATCGATGATCCTCTTCCATACCCTGAACCTGGATACTTCGGCAGTTTTAGTATAGATGCACCACAAATGACCAATGTCCATAATGTACCAACTAACACCAATAAACAGTATGTTGGCAAACCGAATGTTCATGCACCTCTAGATAGTCACAAACCCAATTTGCCGCCTTACAAAGACCAATCTCATAGAAATGACCTCAAAATAAAATGGAAAGATAACAAACGCCCAATTGACTACAATAAGATCCCTCCTCCAACAAGCAACCAAGAAACTCATGTGCAAGTTGGGCCACAAATAACTGTTTATGACCCAGATGTATACAATCCTAATAATGGTGATTTTGATAAATATAACAAACATAGAGGCAAAGATAAACCAAAAGATGGTAAAGAAGTAATTGACAAAGAATACGAAAATTACTTAGCTGTGCCACCTCCACCGCAGCAAATCCCTCAAAAACAATATTATAATCAAGATAATATATACGACAAAAGCAAACCTTATAGTCAACGACCCATCGTTCATACCAAACCCGTGCAAGACATGAAAGTATTTTTGAATATTCAGCATCCAGTACCTGAGCAGTTACCACCTAAAGTTACTTCTGAAATTTACTTCGCTTCACAGATGCCGAACAGCAAGCCTTCTCCTACTTACACTATCCGCATTCCACCAGCGTCACCTAACTACAATACTTTTAACCAACCTACAAATAATATGCAACCCCCAAAAGTAAATAACGTAGGACCGATTCAAAATTCATTTTCAGTGATATCTTCTCCAAATATGGCGAACAAATCTTTTGTGCCACAAGTCAGTGAAGATAAGGATAATACTTATACAGTTACCCTAAATACAGCTACTAATGTTGCCAGTAATAACGAGGCAGGACAAGTAATTGGCTCCAGTGTAGCTGTGCCTGTCGGAACATCGACTCATGTTAGCCAGCTCAACACTGATATACCTATTGGAACCAACTTTGCAATTAGAGTGGAAGATAATACTTCGCCTTTAGAAACTTACAATTTACAAGGCAATTCAAATCAACCTACTGTTTTCAATGATAATAGCCGCATACCACAAGTTTCTGTAGGTGACAATAGATGGAACAAGAGTTCCACAGATACAATTCATTCAACAATTGTTGGAAATAGCTACAATAACCAAAACTATGGTGATAAAAAGTCAAGCTATGAAAATAAAAATCACTACACCAGCCATAATCAACAAAATATAAATAAGAATCAGAACTATGCAAATACAAACCAAAACCAGTACGTAAATGTAAATCAAAATACAGAAATAAAGAATCAGAACTACAACAAGAACCAAAATGAAGGAAACATCAATCAAAACTATGCTAACAGACCAACTTATGAAAATAAGCAACCGACATATGAAAACAAACCATCGAGCTTCAATGTCCAAAATCAGAACTTTGGAAACGTAAACTATGCAAACAAAAACCAAGAACAAGTTAACAAAAACTATGAAAAACCAAACCAAAGTTATGGAACCCAGAACAAACAGCCAAGCTTTGAAAACCAGTATCAAAACTATGGAGACAAAAATATACGAAATCCTCTTAATCCATCTATACCGCCTTCTCTTAATAGTCACGCTAACTTCCCGATGATGAACGATTACTCGACGCCTTCAACTGTTAACGAAAATGTAAAACCAGTCACTGAATACACAGACAACGTAAAATCTGGTGACATCAAGAGACCAGCAAAATTAATTCCAAATATACCAACAAATTCTCACGGTTGGTATTCTAGCGTGCTAAATGAAAACAAGATTGTTAATAACATTAAAGTAGAAGCCACCACCAGAAAAATTATACCATTGATTCACGACTACAATGAGAAGAATAATTCACCTCAGTTTGGAGAGAAAATTACAAGTGCTGGTAAACCACCCACCGAATTTTGGTCCCAAAACGGACCAACAGTAACAGGTTTCAGTATAGGAAAACCTTTTACTAAACCTCAAATAACAGAGAAGCCATTATCTACTAACCCACCGTTTACAACTAAACCATTTAATATTAATTATATTCCTTCCAATTTGGGTGGAATGAGACAGCCTGCTTACGACATACCGATTAGAGATAACAGTGATGAAACAACTACTGCTAAAATTAATCTATCAACCGACAAAATAAAGCCAGTATATGAAAACTCAGAAGAAATATATGACGGAGAAGAAGAACCAGAGAATGCAGGAGAAATTGATGGAGAAGTCAGTTCAGAATCCATGAAAGTTCCTGTAGTAAGTGCTTCAAGCGAAATAGACAGCAATTCCAAATCTTCTACAGAAATAACCCTTCTACAAGACGAAGTATTAAATCTACCCAAGAACGAGGAGAAAGATGAAAGCAACAAAATCCTGGTCAACTTCAATCCTGGTACACAAACCGAAAAGCCGTTTACGTCTTACAATAGTACTGGCTTCCAATCAAATACAATAAAACCCATTTATGAAAACAATCCATACAATAAACCCAGACCATTTACAATCAACACTGCCATCGTCCTTGATCATCAGTTACAACAACCTCATTGGCAGATCAACCATATGATGGAAAACACCACAAATGCATCCTACGAGGATAACATAGATTTAAATATCGGAGAAGAAATGGACAAACCATCAAAATTCAAGCCTCCCACATCTTCAAACCCTCTCTATGTTACAGAATCTGATGCAAAATACAAGAGGCCACCACGACCAGTATTTACCAATCAGTTCAATAACACGCGAGTGCATAACGAATCAATTATAACATCTACAGTTCATATTCAAGATAAAAAACCATTGATTGTGGAAAAAGCCACGGAAAAAACGACTTTACCGACGTTCACGTTATCTAACTTAGAATTAAATCGTACTTCCAGTGAAATCATTGATCTGTCACCGCCTCCGCCAACAATGGACTATAACTTTAAGCCGTCTACGAATGATGAAATGATTATGGGTATGAGTCCTCCTCCTCCAAGAACTCCTCCAGGTATCAGGCTTCCTACTAGAGTTCCTTTGACTCCTCGTCCTGCAATTCCTATTAGAACTCCACCACCATATAGAACTAAGCCATCAAGACCTGTTCCACCTCGTGTGACTACTCAGAGACCAATAAGGAAGCCAGTTGTAAATAGGGATGAGATATCAACCTACAGGCCTGCTTTCGATATAATTAATAATATCAGACGACCAACTTATAACCGTGATCAACCGTCATCACAGCTTTTGCCTCCTCCTAGGGATATTCCATCTAGGGTTGTCAGTCCTATAGAAGTACCAGAACCAACAGTTAGCATTCCAGATGTACCTAAAGTGGTCTTCCCAACTCCTATCTCTTCTGGCTGGTTAACATCTTCTGGCATAGATTTCTCATCAAGCTTTAACTTTAACCCAACATCAATACAGTTCCCTGATTCTCCAGAACCATCCAAGATTCCTGATTCCTCTGAAGTATCGTCTTCCTCAGAAAACTCTTACTCATATGAAACTGAATCATCTTCTGAACGAGTTGATGATGAAGTTAATTACGAGAAACCAGTTACAGAAGATAGAGTAGTTGTTTCTAAAGAATCAAGCACAGAGGCTAGTACTTCTACTACTACGACGACAACAACAACAGCTAAGGCTACGACAACCAGCACAGAATCTAATGAATCTTCGTCTGAAACTAGTCAAGAAGAAACTTCAACTGACAAAATGAAGGTTATTCCACTTGGCAATAAGAACAGGACTCGCAAACCTTACCCAGTACGAATCGATGAAAAGAAAACAACTACTAGTAAATACAAGTTGCCTGCCAAACCTACGTCTATTATTAAACCAACTAGGACTTTATCTAGACCTGAAGTCCTATATCCGACAAGGCACACTTCTATTAGGAAGATTGTACGACCAATTACAAGGGTACCTCCTATTATACCAACTGGTATTATTGAAAGTTCAGAAACATCATTTGACGAAGATTTCATAAGACCAACAGAGGTCTTGAAGGACAACATTCCACCGACAATTGCTGAATTAGAAGTAACAAATCTGGTAGAAAGAGAACCTTCTAGTATACCCAATAGCATACCGTCAAGCATTCCTAATAGTATTCCTTCCAGCATTCCAACTCCAAGTATAGAAGAGATCACAACTATAAAACCAACTCACCACGCTGGTAACGAAATCAAGATATCAGACGAGATCATACCAACCAAGACTGAATTTAGAACAACTGTCATCACCCTCACTAAGACACTATCAGAGCCACCGAAAACCGTATCAAGTATTGGCTATGTAAACCTAACACACACGTTAACTGTCACACATACTAAGACAAGTTTAGTCAGCCAATCAGAAGGAGCTGTAACACAGACGTTGATATTAACAAACACACAAACATCGACAATCGTTGATGTTGTAACAGAGGTGCACACACAAGTGCAACCTACAACGATAATAGAGACTGTAACCAAACACATACCAATACAGGTTCAACCAACACCAGTCCAAGAAAGCATTCCAAAAACTAAAGTATCCTTAGACATAAAACGATGTCCTCAGAAGAGAATGATAATCTCATTATCAGAGATTCTGATACAACTGATAATATCATTCAGAAGATTGAGAATGATAGTGATCCAGAGAATGATAATGATACGTTCTTCGTTGTGATGAATAAATCCCAGAATGGAGGTCAATCTCCACCAGTAACTACTGATATTGAGACAGGAGACTACGACGTGACTAGGAATGAGCAAGTTAATAACAATGGAGTATCACAAGTATTGTTTGGAGAAATTCTGTTGGCTGGTACACCATTTTTGGAGACTACTAATGTTAATCCGAATGGTAAGTAATACTTGGATTTATCTCACATCCACTTTTCGTTCGTTAGGTTAACAGTTATATTTTGTTTGAGTTTATTGTTCAACTTCATGCATAAATTGAAATTTGAGAATTCTGTAACTTGTATTTCAAAACCAATTGTAGCAGCTATTAGTAAAATATTTGTAGCAACTGGACATAATAAGGAACGATTTTTCACATTTGATAGCATATATCGATTAATATTTCAGGAGTACCATACGGCAAGGAATGTCAGCCAGATTGCAAAGCCTCCAGAAACGAGCGCTGCCAGCGTATTGATGGTCTCATGAAATGTGTATGCAGACCTGGATTCGCTAGAATGTTCCCTGACAGGCCTTGCAAACGTAAGTAATAAAGTTCAAAATAAATAAGACGATTATTACGAATTAACTTTTTTGAAGTTGATTATTAAGTTAATGGGACTCATGCAACTGTAGACTAAAAATGTATCATTCAATATCAATATCATATCTTTTTAATTTACTGAATGTTTCGAAAATAAAATACTTCGAGCTCGCTTTGCATGGTTCGTAAATTAAATCACTATTCAAGCTCTACAGTCGTTAATTCAACAATTCACCTTACGTTAACATTAAATTTTACAGCAACATACACCTACTCCGTGAAACTGGCTCTGGGATCTCAAGGAAACGAAAGACTAGAATTCCATGACAATCTATCTGATAACTCTAGCAAAGAGCACCATGCTTTAGCAGTGGCTTCTCATGAAGGTATCAATAGAATGATCATGCAATCAGACCTGAGGGATGTCTACCATGGAGTCCATATCAATGGTTTCCATCCAGTGGAAATGAAGACTACAGGAGGAGACTTGTACCAGGGTGTGATGAACGACTTCTATGTACAGGTAATGTTGTTAAAAGAGGTAGTAGTGTATTTTGAACTGAAGATTGCAAGGATCATTATTTTATGTGTGATAATAAAACTAAAGTAAACCTGATACAGTTTAGAGGTAGTATTTACAAATGATTAGATGTCATAGTTTTTTTGAGCGACATTTGCCACTGATACACTTATTTGTGTTGTTAAATGAAATATAATGTCTGGAAACGTAAGCATAGTAGTTCATTCATTATACTTATAATATTTCATTCCCTAGACAAAATAACTCTTAATTCTTATTTAAATAAATTGATGACAGTTCTATTACAATAGCAAAAAACTTTTACATTCCCAATTCTGTTTTAAAAATTATGCCATAAACATCACTGCTCTCAAAATCCTCTCAATAATTTCCAGCTCTCGGATAATGCACATGAGAGTAGACTCAAGGAGGTCATTGAGAAGTATCTAAGGAACAACAACTACAGCCTCGGAGGTACGGAGGTCCATGCTGCTAGTGAGCTGATGGAGAAACTGGATGTCAGTGGTAAGTACAACCTTGATACCATTTTCTGGTGGATTTTATGAAGTCTGAGGGAAGTATAGTAAACTGTGTGAGCTTCTTCATGCTGTAATAGTTATTTATTACATTATTAATTAGTTACATGTCTTTAAGTTTTTGACCAGTTGATAGACAACCACTTGTAGTGAAAACATTGGTATTGATAGTCCATTTTTTTTCATAGAACTTTTAGTGCAAGTAATTTGCAGTATGTTTTTTATAACTTCTTAACTTTAGCACTATTAATTAGTAATTTTTCATAGCATACCTACTTTAGTGTGAGTTTTAAACCTTTTACAATTTCTTGTTTTACAGACTTCGACGAATGTGTCAGTGGGCAGTTCCATGACTGCTCCGAGCATGCACAGTGCTTCAATCTGCGTGGTACTTACACTTGCAGCTGTCTTGAAGGTTTTGCTGATCTCAGTGTAAACGCGCTGTACCCTGGCAGGATTTGTTCTGGTAACTCATTACTTATCATCATCATCAACATCCCTTGAAAGTCCATTGTCTCCTCAATTTCACGACTTTAAACTTATTTTTTTTTTAGTATGAACACACGAATTAGTGTATTTTGAAAAATGATTATCCTTTCTTCATTGTGTAGGATCTATAATTAAATCAAAGGTCCTGTAATATAGATGAAGCCTTTTATCAATAATATTACAGCTACAAACAAAACAAAACCGTATTATTAACTATGAAAAGTTGCTTTGACTGCCTCGGTGGTCGTTGTGCGACTGCCGGGATCTTAAGTTCGATTCCCGGGTCATGTAAAATATTATTGAGTTAAAAAAAACCCAGTACTAGCACGGAGCCTGGAATTGTGCTCTGTATATGGCAATAAGCTCAACCCCTATTTCATGGGACTTATAACATAAATAGTGAAAAGTGGTTGTTACGTTGTATAGTGGCATTAACTGACGATTGGAGAGGCATATGTCCAGGCTGATGATGAAAAAAAAATTAACTGACGTAATGTACACCTCTGCTTACTCTTTCGGGTATAAATGGCGTGATATGTTATGTAAAGTTGCTTTCTGAAAATTATATTAAAGATCCCTATTATCTCTTCCAGCTGAACCAGTGGGATGTGAAAGGTGTAACTATCACGGCGCTTGTTACTCGAGGGATGACAGAAGAGTTTTATGCGAGTGCTTCCAATGGTACGCCGGTAGCTCCTGCCAGATTAATCTAAAGGGTAAGTTGTATTATTTTAGTGTAAGGAGAATCTTATTTATTTGAGTAACGGAGGACTTAACGCGGAGAACTTAACGGGTTAAATGATACGTCTTGGTCATTTATCGTGCTTAAAAAAAGATGATTGACCGGCCCTGATGATTTTATCTATCCATTGACTTGACATCTCGTATTCATCAGAGAACCCAGTACCAACATTGATAACTCTTTAGCTCTTATGGCTCTTTCTATTTTGACAGTGGTCCTAATATCTCTGGTGGTGTGTGGTGCTCTCCTGACGGTGGTGCTGGCGGTGTGTGCTGTGATGGCATGTTCAAGACGCGCTCGCAGGGCACCCCATCCACAACGATCCATCGTCGCCTGTATACAGAGCATGCCGAGCCTTCATCAGGTAAGTGATTTTGGTATTTATTTGTGTCTGTGTTTATAACTTTCGTGAGACATACTAAATAAATTATTATGTTTTTCGGCTTACACACGTCATTATTTGACGAGGAACTCGACTAGTTTCAAGCCATGCTAGAGGCTCATATTCATGAGCAGTATTCCGCGACCCGCGACGCGGCAACCGTCGCGCTCCTACTGGTAGCAGTGCGACAGTCGTGCGACGTCCTAGTCGACAGTATTTTTCTGTGATAAAAGGCTCCACATTTTGTATCAATATAATTTTGAAAACAAAATGTCGTGCGCCGTAGAATGTTAACTTATTTGTTTCTCCTCAGGGTGCAATGCCAAAACAGAGAGCTGACAGACGAGCACTGATCAGTGAACGAGGTGAATCTGGAGATAATTCTAGCATTCAGAATGCGTCGCTGCCTTATATACCAGCGAAGGTAAGTACTTCTGTTTTTATGGGTGTTAAGATAATATTTGAGATGACCATATTATGTGTAGATGTGATTTTAAAACTAAGAGAGTTTAGAAAGTTTTTGTTAATGCTTTTGCATTCACATCTAATTAAAATGGCACATTTTCTTTGTGTGATCCGTAATCCAAGAACATTATTTTTAGGAATACTTTCCATAATCTTATGGTATCGATTTTCTTAATGTGACCGTATTACTTGAACATTCCAGAGAGCGTCAACAAGCGCTAAGAAGTGCGTGATGTCAGACCCACCAGCTCATGATCCTCCACCGCCACCAGCTCCCGCTGTCATGATCCCCAGAGCCAGACTGCATCCTCATCATGGAGACAGGTGAGTTTCTAATAAGCTGTAGGAATTTTAAGATAATAGTAGGAACACTGACGCTGAAGCGTTAAAGAACTAAGAAATTGATTGTGAAATTGATAGTAGCGTAGTGCCAAAATAATTTTATTACAAAATTCCATAGTTTCGTATTGCTAATGCGAATACGAGTAGTTCTACAACAACATTCTCAGTAGACAAGTAGACCAATCCTTTAGGAGAAAGAATAATTTTTTACATCAATTTGATTGATCTTCTTCACAGCCGTGAAAATATAGCCAGAAAGAGGAGTTTGGAGCTTAGCAGTGAAGCGAAACTAATCAGTTATTTGGAGTCCGGAGCAACTACCTCCAATGATGAGGCAAGTATTGTATCAGCCAGTATCATACACAACATAATCAACGACGATAAACTGATAAGAAGATCTAACAAGAAAATAGATCTAGTCAAAGCACGCGAGTTAGAAATCTTCATAGTAGACTGAATCATGTTTTTATAATAACTGTCGTGAGACATACTAAATTAACTAAAACTCGTGGGTTACTCACGTGAATATACTGAGAAAAGCTCTACTAGTTTCGAACCACAGACCCTTCTGTGGTTCGAAACAAGTACTACTTCTTCCTCATGAGCAGCATATTCACGTGAGTAACCCGCGATTTTTGGTTAATTTAGACTGATTCGTAACAAAATTAGAAGTAACTAAACGGAAACGAATTCAATTGATTTCAGATGAGAAGAAAACATAGTTTGGAATCTTCGTACAGTGCCAACAAAGACAGGCATAACAAACAAGGTAATTATTTTACAAATGAATGAAAAATGAAATTTTAAACAATTCTTTCTTCACGTTATTCTTTTAGACTGCACGGTTGGTGCCGTGGCTAGACAAATGGCTGCCGCGCAACGTGTAGCAGGTTCCTGCACGGAACAACTCTTTGTGTGATCCACAGATGGTTGTTCCGGGTCTGGGTGTCATGTGTATGTGAACTTGTATGTTTGTATACGCACCCACGACACAGGAGAAAATTGTGGCTCGAGGCAACGTTTTAACAAAAAAAATAATAAGAAATAAAAATAAAATTCATATCTGTTATTATGAGTAACATTAACATATCGCGATACATTGCTATAAGCGACCTCTATGTATAAAAAAGTTAGCTACAATCGCCGTGTCTAATTTGTCATTACTACATGGCAAAAATGTTACCAAATAACTCGACTCCTTCGAAGAAAGATGAAGATTTATTGACAAAGAAATTATTTTCTAAATTCCAGGAGCTCTAGTCTCAGCAGGATTCAAGGTATCAACTACAATCCGACCAGATGAGGCAGCAATGAAGGAGGATAGAGATGACCTCTCCTCTGTAACAAAAGGAGACTTAGAGGCTGAACTCGCAAGATTTGATACGCTAAGAAAATCTTACAGGTATTATTTCTTTTTTGTTATGGCATAAGCCAGTAATCGAGCAGACGGATCACCTGATGGTAAGCAATCGGCGTCGCCCATGGATACCTGGAACACAAGAGGCGTTACAAGTGCGTTACCGGCATTTGGAAATTAGGAATTTGAGGATGGTTGGAAATTCAGAGATTGAGGAGTTTGGGGAAGGGGGGGGGGGGAAGGTTAATTAGGCCTCCGGTAACCTCACTCACACGACATAATACAACGCAAGCTTAGTTTAACATCGGTTTTCTGTGAGGCCGTGGTAGCACTCCGGTCGAGCTTATCCATTCTCTCCCATACTTGGTAACCAATAGAAAAAAGAAATGATAGAAGAGAAGTCATTATTTAATTTTGTAATCCTGTGTTGTGATATTGATTAAAATCTGTTTTCAAATTCCAGCCAAGAAGATCTATCAGAATGGACTGATGCTGAAAGAAGATTAGGTGAATTGTAAGTAGACTTCATGAGTTGTAAATGTATGCCTTTTCATACAAAATGATCATAGACAACATAGATGTCGCAGAGAACCTAACGGGTTACCAAGACTCCGGCTCGACATGCAGGAGAAGGAACGGGGTGGTTTTTAGTCAGTAAGAGTCTGACACTCCCTACCGTCTCACCCAGCCGGGAGAAACCATTCGATGATTTTCCCTCATTAATAAAAGACAACTTAGATAATAAAAAAAAATATGCTTAAATGCTTAATGCATAAACAAAAAGTTTACCACAAAGATGAACAAAAATTTTGATTTAATATTTTGAGTCTCAATTTTTTTCGTAATTCTCAGATCTTCAGATTCTGTTTTTAACTTATTTAGAATCCTGTCTTCAGTTTCATCTTTTTTAAGTACATAGGTACATTAAAATACACATTTATCTCACAGGACTCTATCAGAAGCTAGATCTGTCGGTGGAACTCTACCGGCGAGTACAGGAAGAGCTGCATCGTCAACACGTCTCACACACCAGGTCAGTTCAAGCATCTTCTTATCACCCTTCTCTTTATTAGTACCATCAATATAATTAGCTTCTGTATCACATTCTTCAATACTTTTATTCTTATAAGTAATTTGTACAGATTCTTTTTAATCTTCTATGTCCTGTTTACCATTACCAAAAATATTATTTGAAATAGTAATGAATTTTGTTTATTCAATTTTTTGTCATTTGGAGACCCCATCGTCATCATAATAAAGTTGATAATCAAAGTCAAAGTATTTATTTTAATTAAACCATAATTTGGTACCTTTGAAACGTCAACAAATACAAAATAAATGATAGTCTGTCAGTCAGTGCGTCAGTGAAGCTAGGTGAAGCTAGGTAATATTAATAAAGTCAAAGTCAAAGCACCTATTTCAATTAAATCTGGATTAAAATCAAGTCAAATTGAATTGTTAATGAAGCTGGGTTGACTCTAGTTTACTTTAGCTTTATCTAGTCTGGGCTCGTTCCAAAGTATAGTTTCGAATGGAGAAGAATAAGCAAGAAACTCAATCGTTACTTTTATAAATAAATGTTTTCTACAATCTCACAAGCACATAATATTCTAACATTCAAACATTGTAACATGATTTTTGATACATATACCCTCAGTTCTGCAAGATCACAAGTATTACCATCATTAATTAGATCTTCAATAACTATTAAATCATCAGTTACTCATATGCCAGGCTTACCACCACCATCTGTATTAAAATCCATAGCAACTTGTCTTTCACCCTCAACATGAACTTCTAGTAAGCACTCTGTAACCTTTGCACCATTCCCAGGAACACACGATGGCTGAACGCGACCTTGGATCCACCTTCCTCTTGCCACACGTGCACCTCTACAAACCAGACCTAGTGGGTATCTTCTAGCATCTTCTAGTTCTTGCTTTTGTAGTTATTTTTGTTTCTTGGCACTTGCACCCAAATATTCAGCATTTTGTTGTGTAATTGAATCTTTTTTTTTCAATTTAATGCCTACGTTAATATTGAAATTGAAATTTTGTTCATACAAAATTAGTATTTGAACATCAGTGATAAGGTCTATAATGGAGTTAGTGGTGAGCGGTTACAGAAACTAATTAAAAATGCATATTTTAGAGATTTACCTTATTGCTTTGTATGCTGCATTGGGAGTTTCGATTTCGAAATTGTCAACTGATATAACAATAAATTTGCTTACCATGCGCCATTATGACTTTATATCGTTGGCCGAGTGGTCGCAAGTGCGACTGCCGGGCAAGGGGTCTCGGGTTCGATTCCCGGGTCGGACAAAGTATTACTGGGTTTTTCAAAATCTCAGTAGTAGCACGGAGTCTGGAAATGTGCCCGGTATATGGCAATAGGCTCACCCTCTATTACATGGGACTCATAACATAAATAGTGAAAAGTGGGTGTTACATTGTACACTGGCATAATGTGCACCTCTACCCACCCCTTCGGGGATAAATTCGGGGTTATATATAATTCTTTTATTATTCTTTAACATTATATTTATTTTTATTTTCAGACCAGTGACGTGTCGGAATTCGACTCTCTCTGAAAAAGTTCCAGTCACATTTATAAACGAGTATTACTTTTGCTAATTGCATTATTAGTCTAACTTTTTTATTACACTCCCTTTTTACTCATAAATAAAAAAAAATACTCATAAATTCTCGAGGCATTTCAAAAATCGTTGGGGATAGTGCAAATGTATGGAACTAGCATTTGATAATTCCGCGTATCTGACAAATGTAGCTATTTCAAGATTTTGCTGAGTAATCCCGCAATATTTTAATTGGCTGCCACCGCCTTGACACGGGTTTATTTTGACTGGTTTCTAATAGTATGAGAAATTAGGTTCAAATTCATTGAATTCATAAAATTATTACGTATAACTTTCTCCTATAAAACTGAATCTATTGCAGATACGCAGCCTTTACGGTATGGTACAAACCATATTTACCCGACGAAATACTTTTACTCAAATAAATAAATTCTAATTATTTTTATGAGAAAAAAGGGGATTATCCTGAGGCGTTTTATTATTTACCACCAAAGCAAAGACTTATCTAATTTATTGAACTTATTTATTTCTATTTAAATGTTGATTGCTTATAATTTATTATTATTTTTATTTTCGCCTTAATACAACGAAACGATTAAATGAAATTATTTTTAAAAATGCCATAGTAAATGTAAGCATTTTTAGATATTAAGAAAAATATTTGAAAATAATTTGAATGAGAAATCGAATAATAATATTAGTTAAGGGTATATGTCTTTGTAAAAAGATTTCTCATTTGAAGAATTTTCATTGATTTGTTACAAAATGAAAAAATTGTGCAACAGAAAGTGCCAATTTTACTTTTATTTTTACTTGTAGAAAGGAATACTTAGGCCCGCCATGCTTTTTTGTCGTATTTAGGGCAGATTTTTTAAATGCCAGATATTTTTATCGTCAAATATATTCTACAAATTAAAAATTAGCCTTTAGTAGAACAAACAATTTGACACAATTTCAGCAGATAGAATAAAAAAATAAATGAGAATTTTACGTCTAAGCTACATTCAATTATAGGTACCTAATAAAAAAGCATGGCGACTATAAAAAAATGGGTTATAGTTATAAAATAATTGTGAATACTCATATCACATTTTACACAGTTAATGATTTGTATCTTTTTATTAAGATTTTTTATATTTTTTTGTTAATAAACTATAGTTAAATAAATGTGCGAGTTTTATTTGTGAATCTCCATTGTTAATCAAAGTCCACTTTGTCTCGACATAGTCACCCGTTTATTACGTCACCCTTCCTGTTCAAGTGGGTGACATGACCGTCTACCTTCCGACAAACCTTAACCCTGAGATTTCCAACACTGCCAAGGGTGGAGACCTCCCTTAAATCCTCGTCCTAAATTTAAGGAATAGACCTACCGTCTATACTCCAATAGTAGACTCTCATGAGCTGTGGTTGAGATCATTTGCAGCATAACTATGACATTCCAATATATAGGTACTACGCGCTAATTACTGCTGCACAATGAAGTACAGAATGTCATAAAGGATTCGTATGAAAGGATTAAACCTGAACAAGGCCCAATTACCCCCCAATTCCCCAATTTGTCTAATCTCTGAATATCCAACACTTCTAAAATTCCTAATCCCCAAAAGACCGGTAACAAACGTGTAACGCTTCTGGTGTTCCTGGTGTCCATGAGCGATGATGTCGATTGCTTACTATCAGGTGATCCGTCTGCTCGTGTATCCCATAAAAAAAGAATATTAATGCATTGTCTTTCAACAATAGACAAGCGAGTTGGTGGCGCAACGCCATCTTATTGATAATGAAAAAATGACTAGGTACTATAAATCAAAAGGGGTAAATAAAACACAAAAATTAAATATGAGACATAGCGTTTTTATTTAATATTCAATAATTATTTAATCGATAGAATATTCAGCAATATTACAAATACAACGTGAAACAATTGAACATTTTGCAACTTAATCTTTTTTTTGAAACTTAATATTACAGCGTAGCAACGGTTGAGACTAGCTTAACATCGACCTCAAGCACACAGACTTTAAAAAAATTAACTATTATTTATAAACAGTTTACATTTAAGCGAGCCCTTACACTTAACCTTTAAGGGGACTTCAGGAGCTGATATGAGAAACAATTGCTTTTATCAGCCTCGCGGTGTATCAGCTAAGCATGTCATATCTACCTCTTCTTCTTCTCAGTCTCATCCCAAAACATGTCTATCAAAGATAGACCTAGTTTTACAATTCTATCAATTAGGACTCCATTTCCAATCTTCCAAACTCCTTACGACAAGACTACGACTGTAGTTTTTAAGTTTTGTTAGTCGTATTGTCTCTAACTATTCTGTCGTTAAACTTCATACAAAACATGTTACTTTAGGTCCAAAACCTACTTACCATCACAATTAGAAATTATAATTCTTACATAATCGGTTATATTTAAAGTATGGAAGTGAGCAAGCCCCGTTTATTAATTTCTCTAACTTTGAAAGTCCACGACCAACCGAATGGTAGGGAAAATACATTAAAAATAATTGTTTTTTTTTACATTACACGACATCTACGCTACTTTTGATTAATATCATTTCAGATTAATTACAATGCAATACAAATCTTAATCTAATAAAAATATGAAAATAATAACAACTATTCTCTATTTTTACTTATAATTAAACAATAATTAAAATTAAACAATGATTAAATAAATGTTGATTACATTAAATGTAAATTAATAAATGACTAGAATAATAAATAAAATAAAACATATTAATAGAGAGACTAGAATGAATGCAGTAAACCGACATACTTTTATATTACTAGGAGTAATAATATTTTTATTATACTGAAGGTTTATATGAAAATACAAAAAGGAGGAACCACTTTTAAAAATCTCATTCCGAATCCTTTCCACCGCATTATAGCCGACTTAGCTAGGTTAAAAAAAAATCAGTTGGCCGCAGAATCAGCAAAAATGTACTTATTCTATATTTTATCTCTATCTATCTACTTACTTTCGAAATTGTGCAAGATTCGAGTAGGAGATCCTATCTTCTCTATAATCATGTGACACGGAATTCCCAATGCGTTATCAAAATCCTTTTCTTTTCTTTCTACTTAATTTTACTTATAAAATAGTTAATAGTTCTACAGTAACACGAATAAGCACTGAATGACTAAGCTAAGCTAATGATTATAGGTCAGTTAAGATGGACCGTGTCGTCACCGACAGAACAGTACAAAAGTTGAGTACCAAAATATTATCCAAAATTATCCCCATATATGGCCAATGTTTGACAAAACTGTACCCATATATGTGAACGTGACAAGTTCGACTACTCAGTTTGGACTTAATAGTGTATGCTATAAGTGTCAGTTTAGGTTGAGAATATCACATTAGATAGACACTTTAAAGAGTCTTGATTTTGTCTAATTTGAAGGAAGTTTTGAGTATTTTTTAGTAATTATTATTAATTCAAATACGTCAATTTCTTAGTTGATATCTTTCGTCAGTTACCGGTACATTTAGCCATTGTCATATTTTTATTATATGTCTTCATTTTTAATTAATTCATTTCTCATTATATGGGGTTTTATCTAAGCTTTAAGCTTATTAATCATTAACAAAGAGATCTTATATTGTCTCAAATCAATTTTAAGTCTAAATCCGTTATATTCGTCATATTAGGTTAGGTTTAGTCTTTAGTCAGGATCAAAGTTCAGTTGAGTTCATCTAAGGAAAATTTAGAATAAAAATAGTCTCAAAAGAAACTGGAAATTGAAAATAATGAAATAATTCTAAATTCAGTTGGTATATGCGATCAGTGCGTCATTGCCTAAGCAAGAAATATCAATAAAAGAGCTTACAAAAGGCTAGGAACGTTCAAAGTAAAGGAAGGTGAAACGCGTGTATTTCTAGACACAGTTTTATGTCTTCCTAATAGAACTAACGTTTACTTCTTATCGTCTTCAGCGTTGGATGGAGGAGATTTCGCTAGCATTGACAATGATCTGCAAGAAACACATCACATAGTTTTAATTTTCGAAAAATTTAAAACGGTATAAGAAATGAAGAAGATACTAGTAGATAAGTATTATAGTTCTAGAATAAATCTACGTTGCTTTAACTTATCTAATTTGAATAACTTTGGATTTGTAACTCATAATATTATTAATGATACAGGATAAGACAATCTAATATATTGTCTTGCAAATTATAGTAACAGTGATTCTATAAGTGTTGATACTAAAATCTTCAACATTTCTTTTAAAATACATCCTTCACTACATGCTGTTAATAAACCTAATGAAACAACAATGACACACATAATAAACAATAATAAATAAAGTACAGAAGGAAGCAAAATAACCCATAATACTATGGTAATAAAAGTGATAGTGGTATCAATGAATAAGCAAATGAAAAAACAAAGCAATACAATAGAAAAGTAGTGTACCTATTTGTCGAGTTTATCTTGAGAGTGACTTAAACAATAGCAGCTGCAATGACAATATTTTCCAATTTAGTAGGTACAATTTCATCATTTATTCAATTAAATGATATACATGAATTCATTTAAGAAGCTGAAATAGCTATAGATCATGTCAAAATAAATGAAAAAGCTGACAACAAAATCAATAATGACAAATAAAATAGACGTTTAGAAGTTAATAGCTTGTGAGACAAAATTAGAATTGTAATAAGCGTAAGCGGACGGAATTTAAATCATATTGCAGAAACAATAATAAATGTTGAAGATATTTGGATACTGATGGCTGAGATGACGTAGGTGGTACTGAAGTAAGGGATTATTACCTTCTTTGAGCAGGTATGGGCGGTGATGGTTGAGTGGCAGGTGGTAATGATGCTGGGGCGCTTCCAGACAGTGCTGGTTGAGCGTCGTCATCATCTCGACGTTCTCCTATAACGGGATATGTGATTACATCAAACCAAGTTTCAGTGGTGCCGTTTATTTACGAAATTATTGATTTCTCAATCAGCATCGCCAACGATGTCAGTTTGACAATAACGATAAAGTTATGTATTATAAATTGGGTTTATCAATTATCGTAATTCTCAGTTAGTCTAGAATTAGGTATTTGTTCCCGCCATTGGGCAAAAAGTCACTTACTATTTTTGAGATAAGGTAATTTTGCCATCTACTATCTCTTTTCTCTTTATGATTTTTATGAAACATTAAGAAGTAAATTGAACTGTATACCTCTCATAATAGGAGTGTCTCCAATATAGAAGGTAGGTGCTGGTGTTTCCACAGCGGCCTCCTTGACTGACCCGTCACCGCTGACAGCACTGAGTGTGTCAGTACTATCAAACATGATGGTGCGCTCCTTAGCTCGAGGCGTTCTGCTGTCTAACTCCTAGAAACAAATGGGAGGTATGGTAAGTATTAAGGTTGTAAGATATTTTTTGTGTATCTTTTTTGTTTATTTTTTACTAGCTTTTACCCGCGGCTTCGCTCGCGTTACAAAAGGATAAAAAGTGGCCTATGTGACATATACCAATACACACAGCGCTATCTATACCAATAATTTCGTTTTCCCTAGAGAATATCAACTTTTTCCGGGATAAAAAGTACCCTATTATTTAATCCAGACTTCTAACTTTACGTCTGCAAACATTCAAAGTAATCGGTTTAGTAGTTACAGCGTGAAAGCGGAACAAACAAACAAACTCACTTTCCGATTTAAAATATTGGTAAGGATGTCCACTTAGTTGTTGATATTCACTTGATTCTGTTATTTTAGCAGATATACCAATGCAGACTTTGAGTTTTTCTTTACTTCCTTCTAAATTAAGACAAGATATAACAATAAACTGTTATAATTTTTCTTGAATAGTTTGAAGCACGCTACGTTCGACGATTTGCAGAAGTAATCATTTTATCACTGGAATGTGGTTATTGGATACGTACGTCGAGGATCAGTTTTACATTATTAGTTCGTATAATTTTGGCTCCTCTTTGAGGACTGGAGGAAGAAAACAACAGAAACAATTTTCTCACAAATGAAAACCAGCCAATTCCTCTTCTCTGCATCTAAAGTTATTGCTTTTTCCACTTACCAGTCTCTCAGTGTCAGAGTCAGGTTCTTGTACTTCATAGTCATGGGAATAATGTTCACTAGTGGACTGATGCTCTAAGCTCTCCATCTGGACAGCCGTGATGGGATCCAGGGTGTCCAGAGATGATACCATGGTATTTGATCCTGGAGGGGGCACCGCTGTTATCTTTCTGATTAGTATCAAGCTCAGCGGGGTAGCAATATGTAGGTATAAATAAAATAATAAAAAAAACCAACTCAAATATTATTTCCAGAATTCTCTGCCCCTAAATATGTAATACCAGATTTTCCATTTTGCTTTTTGCATTTTTAGTAATAGAAAATTTGGATATTTGATTTTTAGATACATTATTCTTTGAAATTATATTTGAGAGGTTATTCTACGTTTTTTTATTGTAATTAAAGATAAAAGCGGGGATGAGGGCAAAGCTTTTCTGTAAAATACAAAGAGATGATTACAAAATTTAAATAATATTAATATGAAAGCTCATGCTGTTATATAAAATAGTATAGATTTTAATACTATTATAATTACGATACAAATAGACATTCAATATGTAAGCTTTAATGAACATAAGAGATTTTGGTGTTATCAGGGGGAATTTTAGCATCTGTTAGTGAGGTAAACTTGTATTAATTGTAAGCCAATGACAAAGCTTCGCAAGATTATATAGTAAAGTTTTGATAAATATATTGAATATTAAATATAAATATATAAATAATAGTAGTATGTAGTCCGAGATTTGGACATTAATGAAACACAGACGAAGTCGGTAAAAAGAACTCAAGGTGTTTAGTTGAATCAGTTTTGTTGAAAAAAGAATTTACTTTCAAAATTCAAGAAGAATGAGTTTTATACTCTTTACATGCAATTTTTTGACAGTTGCTGAAGAAACAAACAGTTTGACATCAAGTGAATGTATTTTTAGAATTATTTCTAAAACTTTGTATAAAAATCAAGAATCTTCTTCAAATCTCGGACCACTTAGTGTCCTTTTCTGAACATCAAACGTACCTCCAGAAGTGAGACTGCCCGTCATCGGAGTGTCGACCTCATAGTTGTAGGTGGCGCGAGTGGCGTTAGAGCTGGTTGCTTCTAAGCTATCAGTGCTGCCAAGCATCAGGTCAGCTCGAGCTCCCCTAGAAAGAAGTTGATGTATTTAGAACGCCGCTTTTTAAAGGTTTGTGTCATTTGGATTAATGAACAAAACGCTGTTTGGTTATTTGCTGCAATAGAATGTAGGTATTATACATCCATGGGTGTAGGCAGACACTATGTAACACCAATAGCTACGATTCTTACATATATCTCTTTCGCTTCATCAACAGTCATCAGTCTTTTCATGCATTCTCATTAGGCAATGATTGGTTTAGAATAAAATTTTAGGGGTAGTGCCGTATATTGGTTATTAAACTTTTTCTTAATATTTTTTATTTAAACTTTTTGAAAATTTTGTATTTGCTAGTGTGTAAACAATGTATTTAGGAATATAACTGACCTGCTAAAACTCCCAGATGAGCTCAACTCCTCATCTTGACCGCTCCACGAGCCACTAGCAGGATCTGTAAATTGTTTACCGGAGAACGAGATTACACTGTGAGCCACCGATCTCCCCGAGGAGGGCGACAGCTCACGCATTAGACTCCCCTCCCTTGAGAACTCCAAGTCCTCAGGTTTATCAGTCATAGTTATTGTTTGTCGTGTAACAGTCACTACTTCTCCCTCCGTATGTCTTTCAAGCACAGTCATTAGGCTGTCCATCTCCGATGGTTGAGATGTTATTGAAGAAGACATTTCTGAGCCATACGACATGGCACTTTCTTCAAGCTGTCTAGGTCTCGCAGGTATATCAACTGCTCCTTCTCCATCGGTACTAGTCACTGTTTCCGACACTTTCTTTCCATCTACAAATCGCTGCTGAATGACTGTCGTGGTCCTAACCACTTCTATAACACCACCATCAGTAAATGTTCTAGTCACTGCTTTACTCTCTTTAGTCTTCTCTTCTTGGTCTAGCAACTTCATCATTTCCTCGCAATCTCCTGGTATTGATTCAGCGGATCCGTCACTCGGAGCCGCTGCGCAAACGAAAGATGACGACTTTTTACATTCTTCTACGACTTCTGTTGGTTCTATTTCTGCTTCTGATGGGCCAGCTTCAGGCTCTGGTACAAAGAAAGCTCCTCTGTCATCATATTTCTTTACGGTTATAATTTTAGGTGTTACCTGTTGTTGCTGTAGTTTTTGTTCAATGGCCATTTGTTGGTCTATCAATTTCCTTATACTAGCAGATTCAGTTAAAATCTTTTGTGAAGGGCTACCATAACTGCCAACCCTTTGCGAGGGACTTCCTCCTTTTTGGGAAGGACTACCACTCTTTTGGCTTGGGCTTCCACCCTTTTGTGGTGGGCTACTTTCTGAACTGCCACTGTATGACCGTTTCTCCCTTTCCAAGAAACTTCCACTTACTTCTTTAGGATCGGCCATAAGAAGAGCTTCTTTTTGTTTTGCAAGTATTTCTGCTTTTAACGCTTCTAAACAGGCTGATTCGAGACCTTCAAATTCTTTCAAACTAGAAATAGAAATATCATCCCCTTGACTTCTACTGAGAATATAACGCCTTGGTAAAGAACCATTGAGGGATTCTTGAGACGATGATGAGTGTTGCTGATACTGTTCCATTAACGCCCTTTCCAGATTCTCAAATTCTTGTAACGAGCTGATTGAAATATCATCATTATCACCTCTCACCCTGAACCTAATTCGGGATGCCATTTCAGATTCAGAAAGGCTTCCATAAGAATTCCTAAAACTGCCATAACTTCCTATTGACTCCTTTTGCGAAGTTAAGCTACCAATTCGACTGGCATCAAAGTCTGTCATTTCTTCTTCCTTAATGTCTTCTAAGGGCACTCTTTCGTAATCGTAGCGTGGATCTCCTTCAAATTGCATTTGGATCCAACGTCTTCCTGCTTCAATTTCAGCCAACTCTTGAGCTTGGAGTTTCTTCTGTTCTAATTCATACTGTAATAGTTCATCATCTGACAGCGAACCAGAAGCACTGCTGGTACTTTCTTGTTTTTTGGAAGCAGTTTTTGATAAATATTCTTCAATTTCTGTGTCATGTCGTTTAACAAATTTTTGTGCTTTTATTTGTACACTTTTGCCTTCAGTGTCGGTTTCTTGGGCTTCTTTAGCGACCTCTTCTATGACAACAAAGTCATCCATTTCACTAGGTTTATCTACCATTTCAAATTCATCACTGGTAGGCGATTCCTGTTCCTTTTCATAACTGCGCATAGTTTTCTCTTCGGTTGTTATTACTAATTCTGATTTACTTGTTTCAGCTAGGTCGGACCGAAGTTCAGGAGTCTCAGAAATATCGTACATGTCATCTAGGACATACTCCCTACCATTGTCTGTGGATAGCGAACTTTGACTGGGAGCAGATAGTGGTGTTTGAGGTGTAGATTGATGATCATGCGTTTGAAGGCTGGATGTCGATGTCTGTTTACTATCCAATTGAGAATCAGGAGTTTTAACAACAGATTTCTCAACTTTAGTTTTAGGAACAGATGAATCACTCTTTGATTTTAAGATTTCTTCATACTGCTTAGATCCGACTGGTATGATGTCGTCTTCAATATCAACAAATTCTCTTTGACTTGGTGGTATATCTGTCTTTGGAAAAGGTATAACGCTAACTTCTTTTACGATTTTCTTTTGACATTCTTCTACAACTTCACATACTTCTCCAGGTGCGCTTTCGGCTTCATGAATAGTTTTCTTTGTTATAGTTATATCTTCTTTTGAATGTTTTCTTGGTTCAGGAGTAATACTTCCAAACCTTACAATGTCCTCGTATTCTGAGGATCCTACAGGAATAATTTCACTTTCTACATCAACAAATTCTCGTTGTGGTTTTTCTATTTTAGTTACAGAAAATGGTACAGCCTCTTGAGAATGAGTTGATACTTTCATAACAGTCTCTTTGACTTCTATTAAGTCCTGTTCTGATTGTGAGGAAGGCATGTCCAGTTTTGAAATCGATGACGATAATATTTCGTCGGTTTTCAATTGACTTGAAATTGTAGTATCAGAACCATCTTTATCTTTAGTAGAATCGTCATCAATATCAGCACTCTCTGACGCGCTTTCAATAGGGAAATGTTCTGGTATTAAATCCTTGTGAAATCTCATTTCATGTGACCTTTTCATTTTACCTACAGGTTCGATAACACCAACTTTTCCTTCATCTTCATCAGCTGAAACTTCTTCATCACTAACATCTTTGACTTTCGGCACAACTTTTTCTCCTTCATGAAGGAAATGTTCAACATATGTGCTACTTTCCATCAATTCTTCTTTTAACTCATTAGCGGATGGTACGAGAGTTTCTGAAGCATCAGAAATGTCTATGCTAGCGACATGACTAGACCCATCAGAATCTAAACTTTTCATACTATCTCGTGAAGCTAGTGAACTACCGGCAGTGAAATAATCTTTAGACGTCCTCAACGATGACGAAACGTCATGACTTGTGAGAGCCGTTTCAAATTCAGTTCCACTCTGTGCTGTCATCATGACCTCAACATCAGAGGATAAAGGTCGGCTCTCTGAGTGTTCGAAGCTGTGGTAGTGACTTTCTCCTGAACTAGACCATCCCTCAACTTCAGATGCTGATCGCCTGTCTCCCACTCCTAACTTTGACTTGATATGTTTCTGTTCCCTGAGTTTTACTTCAAGACTGCTTATGGACTTATCTCTGTCATATAAAATTATTTCACTATCAGTTTCAATTATTGAATGGGGACCGCTGTCTGATCTAATAGAAATATCAGCACTATCTAGGGGTGGACTAGATTCTTTGATATGAACAGTGTCTTTTTCTTCATCAGAAGTTGTAGTATCGTCCTGTGAACTTAATTTTGGTGATGTTCTATCTGATTTATCAAGTGCCTTTTCTTGTTTATCCTTAGAAATAGCTGACTTATCATGGTCATCATGTTGTTCTTCTGTTATAACTTCAGGCCTATCAGGGCTTATCAACAGTTTGAACTGAAATTCAGATGGAGACTGTTTGTACTTGCTGCTACCATCGCTCTTTTCACTAATAATTTCGCCTTGCGCTGCTTCAAGAGACTGTTTGACTTCATCTATCGTTTTTTCCAAAACTGACAAGTCAGTAAGTGGTTGAGCAGACATCAGTGAATCGAAATCCACCCTTTCTGACTCAAGTTTCGTAGCATGAAACTCGGCAGAGGAGAGATCAGTGTCATATCCACTACTGCAAATGTCTTCTAGGCTTTTTTCTTTTATTAGCTTGACTTCTTCCCGTCTATGATCAGTTCCTGTTAAGTAAGCTGAATCAGCTTCAGTGGAAAACTCAGAGGCATGAAGAGTTTCAGCACTTACAGTAGAATCCATAGATTTCTGTAGCACTTCTCCTTCATGTGATTCTAACGATTTAATCATACATTCCGTGTCAAGACTCTCACCGGATTTGATCATGATATCTTTGGACGTTGTACTTGTTTCATCTGATAGTTCAAATGTTAAAGGGGACATGTCAGTTTTGGATGTTTTAGTAACTTCAGTCCGTGTCTCTACAACAGTTCTAATCTCTAAAATAGTGTCACTGTCAGAACTCTTCGTAGTTGTACTAGAAGCTTCGACACTTGTAGTGACTTTAGGTTTTGGTATCTCATCAGCCACCTCAAATGAGTCGGCTTTTTGTACAGAAACCTCCCAAACTTGATCCTGAATCTGTTGTTCTGGTAATTTAATGGGAGATTTCATAGGTTTCTCTTTCTTTGGTGTATCTCCAGTTTTGTCATCGTGAGGTAATTCAGGTGCTACCTCTGATTCAGAATGTGTATCTTGACTTCCAGTTCGACTAAATGTACTCTTAACTGGGGACGTCGTTACTTTGATTTCCTTTATGAAATTTACTTCGTAAGTTTCGTCGTCTTTTTTGAAGGATTTTGATTTACTCTTTGGGCTTGCTTCTGTTGAATCACGTCTTTCAGTTGGTTCACTCTTAAAACTAGGCGCATCAGAGCTAAGATCATCATGCTCTTTACTTTCTATTACTGACTCTTCTTTGTGATGTTCTATTGTTGAACTAACTACTTTTCCTTTTTCCGAAACTTCTACACTAGATACTACTTCGTCTTTTTCAATTATTTTTAGAGTTGAATCCACAAATGCAACTCTAGACTTGTCATCATCTTCGACAATGTTTTCTAATTCACCTGGTTCAGTGAAATATTCTTTACCCCATTGCTCATGGTATAAGTCACGTTCGGATATTTTAACTTCATTCTTTTTCTTGGTGGTTTCATCTTTGATTGCGGTCATTTTTTCTTCTGACTTTGTCTGTCGTCCAGTGTACAGACCTTGTTCAGAAAATTCTCTCTCTACTTTGATAATGTCTGTATCATCCGTACTTCGCACAGTTTTGGTTTCAGTGTCAGATCTCTTAGCTGTAGCTTCATGTGCTTTCTCTAACCTTTTTTGCGATGTTTCAGTTTGATCACCCTCCTTACGGACCACAGTTTTCTCTTTAGTTTCATGTTCTTGTCCTCGTAATTCATGCGTCGTTTCAGTTTTTATAACTAGTGAATCGTCATCAGAAGACGATACTTGTTTTGTTTCAGAAAAGAATTCTTGACCAGAAATCTTTCTTGTTTCGGTTTCTTTATGAGTTAATATTGTGCTGAATTCGTCTTTGCTGCCAAACTTGGCAACCATATCAGACATTACAGCTTCAGGGTCAATTGATTGAAACTTCAACTCACCGCCTTCAAATGTCTTATGAACTGAAGAAGATGAAGTCTCAACTCTAGACTCCGTATAGAACGTGTCACTTGAGGTAGACTTCTGCATTTCTTCCATTTGAACAGCGAGTTGTTCTTTCTTTATTTGATCAATGACGTCAATACTTTTTTCTATCGTTCTATCTACAAGTTCTATTGCACCACTAGTAATTGTCGGTTGGTCGACATTAACAAAAGTTATATTATCGGCCACATGTTTAGTTGGAGATTTTGGCCTGGCGGCTGCAGTGAGTGCCTTAGACGCTTCCATCAGTACTTCTGTAAAGAAAAAGGACAATATGAATTAATTAGCAACATGTCTCGTTCCTTTATTTCGCTGTGCTAGACATTGAAAACGTGTTAGAAATAATTTAATCCAATTCTTAATTTTGTTACTATCATGAATTTAGTGTGCATATTGCTCAAAATTTGGAAAAGATCTATTTTTATGCACCTCAAGCACCTAAAGCGTGTTTATATTACAAGATTAATGTAATTACGATGTGATGGAGATTTTAAGGAAACAGCGATGGAAGCTCATGATGGAATGGTAAAAATAAATAAAGATTCAGAATCAAAGCGAAACGTTACTCAAATGTGAATGATAGTAGATGAAAAAACTGCGAATTAAACACGAGAAATCAACTGTCCGTCAGATAAAGAAGCGATAATAAAATAAAGTGATGTTTCGGTTGCTCCTGGGTCCACTTACCTATGGCAACGTAAGGGCTCCGCAAGAAAGAAAGTAAAATTTACTGTGCTGACGAATATTTGCATACATTTAGTGACTGTTGCAATTGAATTTATTAATTTCTTAGTTCTTTTATATCTGATGGGGTCGCAATTTAGAATTTATTTTATCTTGTTCAGTCTTAGTGCATTCTATCGTTACTTAGTGCTGTCCGTTCATTGTCTTCGTTCCAAAGTCTTTGAAACAAAGTCAAAGATTACGTGTAAAAATTAACCACGACACATGCGATTGGCGTACAAATAAAGTGTGGCAAATAAGGCTGTCTAGAATGGTTGTTTACTACAAAATTAAGAGTAAAGTTTCGCTATGACTCTACTTTGCCACTACATTACTGCAATAAGCTTGCAATAATTCTGTCACAAACCATTTTTTGGGAAATTATAACACAAGTTTTCACAAATTCTCAGTCAATATGCCAAGTTGTTTGGATTTTTAGAGTAGAAAAAAGGGATTTTATAAAGGGATGGGTTCATTTAAATAGAAATTACTGACCACTTTGATGAGCTTCTGTCTCGCTGATGACACTATCGCCGGCTGAAGAAGCTCTGGGTGATTGACGGCTAGCGTCCAGGAACGATGAGTCGGAGCCTAGGTTTAAGTGTGAAGTTAGCTCCTACTTCTAGCATCATATCTAGCTACTAAATACGATAAAAGTGCCTTGTCCTGACACAAGAATGTGACTGTTAATCTTTGTATTTTTGAAGATGTACATTTTAAGTCATCATTTCAAGTGGCTTTGTTAATTTATTAGATTTTGTCTTCTTATGTGATCAAAATAATTTATTTGCAATTTTTGGATTTTAATAACATTAGAATGTGCAGTTTTCTTCACTCAAGTCTACACCAAAGAAGTGGCAAAGTCTTTGCCTTATGACAGTGTCCCGTTATTTCAAAGTGTGTGTCATATCGTTGGCTGTGATTTAGTGGTAGCTGCGATCACTAATGATTTGAATGTAGCATATACTAACTACGATGTCACTGTTTCTAGAAAAGTTGCCAAAAATCAACAATTTCTTGAATTTGTTACATAAATGTGCAATAGAAAGTGTATTTTTCGAGAATAATGGTAGAAATGTCTTGATTAAAATTTTATGATAATTATGTTTCACTATAGTATCTTCCATATTTACAAAACAGTCTGTATGATCTTTGACAACTTTAATTGCAGTTTTGCAGTGTTCACTATTGTTGTGTTTTTGTGCTAATCTATAATTGAACTCGTTACCTTTGGGTTGTAGCCCGGCAGACTTGTCGCCAGTACCATCGTCGGGTTTGGATTTTTCTTTCAAGGTTAAATCAACAGGGGACGGTGGTGGAGTTTTGGAGAATTTTGACACAAGATCTATAAAATCAAACGAATTTTGGGATATCTTATATAAGGTTCAAAATACATTACAAATGTACGTTTTAGATAATGTAATTACAAAAGTTTAAGGAGAAAGAAAAATATGAACGATGATAGAAATCAGTCAAAAGATACAAAAAATTCAATAGTATCAATTTAGTTGTAATAGGAAACTTACCGTGAGTTACATGAGATGAGTCAATTCTAATAAGAGCTCCTTGAGATATATCTTCCAGAAGATTTGAACACCTTCTATTCAATTCTTTCATGTCAGGAACTTCATCGTCTGCTTCTTGAAGGACTTCGTCATCCTCGTCTTTCTTGGATTTATCTTCTTTATCATCAGATACTTTTCCATCTATAACTACATGCTTTGTTGTTTCAGTAGTCACGTGTGTTTCAGTGATTATCGTTTTTCCACCATCTTCACCAATAATTTCCTTCGTAGTGACATGTTTTTCAATTTTAACTTCAGGCTCTTTATCAGCCCTATCTTTAATACTTTCTTCTTCCTTTCTAAATTCAGACTGCAACTGGGCAATCTTCTCTTCCATTTCACCGATAAAGTCTTGTTCAGTTTTGTCTGAAGGTTTCGTTTTTTCATAAGATTTTTCATCTTGTTCACTGAACAATATACTTTCTGTTAGTACAGACGTTTCCTGTGAGGAACTACTCGATACTTTAACAACCCTTGAAACTGATCTCTCCTCTTCAATAAATTCTTTGCTGATTGTGATACCGTCAGATGCATCTGACGCCAATGTCTTTGATACATCTAAAGACGAATGGTCTTCTGAGAAAGTCTTTTCGTCAATAGACTTTGATGTCTCTTTAACACTTTCTACGGAAGCTTTCGAAAAGTCTTTTGTTAAGTCAACAGTTGAGTCTTTAGACAATTCATTGGTAGCGAAATCTCTGGAAGTGTCTTTGCTATCGATGGACGACTTTGAGTAGTCTTTTGTTAAGTCTATCGACTTCTTTGATAAGTCCGGTGTGCCACGGTCCTCAATTTGTTCCTCAATCCTAGAATCTTCCTTAGTTTCCATAGAAGTTTTGGAAGGGTCTTTCACTAAGTCAGCACCACTTATTTTTGAGAAGTCAGCAGATGTTCCATCTTCCAGTACCGACTTCTGGTCTTCATCTGAAGACTTGGTCAACGTGGATATGACAGTGGTTACTGATGACTCTGTAGTAGATTTTGAGACCAAATCCGATCGCATTAAGCTGTCCACAAAGTGAGTTTTCTTAACAAACTTTTCACTGAATTTGTCATCTTCTTCTCCGTCATGGTGAGCACTTGTGCTGGGTCCAGCCATATCTTCAAGTGCATGTGTATCAAATTTAACTTGCTGGAATGACTCAGGTGCATCTTCAATGTACTTTTCGTCATCTCCAAAGAATTCAGCCTGAAATATGAAATTAAGTGATAGAGAATTTTAAAGACAATTTATGTTAAAAATGCCATCTCAGGATGATATAGGTACCTCTTTTTCTGGGAAATCATCAGCATCATCTAGAGAGTCGGTGCGAATCTTCCTCGTGTCAAAACTAGATGCAGGCGTTTTTCCATCTAAATCGGAACTGGGTTCTATGATCTCAAGAACTTTAGCTTTGTCCATATCTGTAAATATAAACATTACAATAGATTATTATACATTTTAAGACTTGCAATTTATTTCCATATTTTTTTATACTAACCTGATTCAGAATCAGTGTAAATCTGTTCTTCAACTTCTTCAGGAGAACTCTGAACAGAGAATGTCCTTGGATGTTTCTTTTTAGGCATGATCACAATTTCCCCACTATCTCTTGACAGTGACTTGATCAGCCCTGGTCTGTCCTTTACAAACTTCTTGGTTTCCTCGAAGATAATCTCTTTTTTGGCTTCAATTTCTTGCTGTTTCGAATCTTTTTCGTCCAAGTATCCTTCGACGGTAGTCACTGCTTCCTCTATAATAGAGTCTACAGAGACTCGGCCTGCAATATCTTGTGTATCGTCAACTGGATGCTCTTCTGACGAAACGTCAATATCTTCAGACGCTTGCTTAATGATAATTTCTATGTTATCCGCCATCTGTTTCATAGCTGAGTCGGATTTTTTCATTTCAGTAACTGTTTCTGTTACTGTGTGTGTTTCAGTGACAACACTGGTAACCTTTAGTGGTTCTTCTTCGGTTTCCACCTCAGATTCAGCTATTCTTTCCAGAGAGATAGCTGGACTAATGCAAGAGTGTCGCCGTTCATCTTTGTGTGGAACTTTTGCGTCGTAAGATCTTTTTTCAGTTTCTACTATTTCTTTAGTAATTGTTTTGATATCCTTATCAACAACTGGGCTTCTGGCTGCCGCAGCAATTGTTCCCTTATGCAATATATCGTCGATAACAGGTTTGACCTGTTCTTTAGTGATTTCTGGTGCTTCAGACAAGTCTAAGTCTTTAGGCACAAACTTTTTAGCTTCATCGATGTCTCCTACATCGAAGTGTCCAAGTGTATCGGTTCTTATTTTTGATACGTCAAATTTACTACCACTGCTTACAATTACTTCCTTTTTCGTTTCAATTATTTCTTCTACAGTTGATGTTGTACCGTCCTTGATAATAGTAGTTACTTCTGATACAACGGTTGGTTCATCTTTCGAAGTTACAGTGTATGTTGTCTCTGTCTGTCTTGTCGTAAACACAATTTCTCTAGGTTGTTGATCATGTTCTGTCTGAACTGTTTCAACAATTCTCACTTCTTTTACTGGCTGTACAGTTTCTGTGACAACAGTAGTTACAACTCTATCTGGTTGGGCAGATTCTGTTACAGTCCTTGTAATTACATGATCGGGTGTAGATTCAGTGATGACACTAGTGGTTACTTTCTCTTCTTGAGTAGTAACAACGGTAGTAGTAGTGGGTTCCTTCGTTGATGGCGCAGAGTCAGTAATTGCACTGATGATTTCCTTTGCCGGTTGTATAATACCAGAAATAGCTGAGACTACTTTCTCTGGTTCTTTGGTCTCAGTCACAGTCTTTGTAATAACTTGAACTGATTCTCGTTTCATTTGTGCTTCCCTTTCTTTATTTAAGAAATCGCTCGTAATGTCCTTATCTGGGATAGAACTGTGAAAAAGAATATAATTAGATTTTCTGATTACGGTTTAAATTAATAATTACTAAAATAATGCTTACCCCATTTCGGCAATATGTGGAAGTTTATGCACGTAATCTGTAACATGGTCTTCGGGGAAACCTTCAACGTCATCCAATGAATCTCCGTGAGTAAGTTTAGCAAATTTAGACTCAGTTTTGCCTGAAACAAAAATTAGTTTAAATTGCTTTACGTCAGCTTTTCTAAATTCATTTACAAAGTATTTTTAATTCTGTCTAGTTTTCTCACCTGATGCAGTTTTAGTCTTAGTATCACTCTCAGGTTTGATTTCAACCTTCTCCTTTGAAACATCAACATGAGTTCCCTGTGTGGCAATGTCATCTTCAGACTCTTCAAAAGTATAATCCCTGGATTCAGTCAAGCTATGAGCATCTGATAAACGTTTTTCTTCCAAACGTAACTCGCTGACCGATCCAGAGCCAGCCGATGTTACCGATTGGCGTTTCACTGCATCGACTATAATAAAGCAATTTAGATCGAGTATTAGCGACAAAAAGATGATGATTTATAGTAAAAGTAATAAAAATGATATCATCGATGCTAGTTAAAACATACCTTTGTCTGCTACGTCATCTTTTGCGTGGGTCCTCATTTCCACATCAAAATCTCTCACGGTCTCAATTACAGCAGTTACCACTTCTTTCCCGTGTTCTAAAACTGGTTCACGATCTCTCGTTGCGTCTTCTTCAGAAGACGTTTTCTTTTCCGTAACAGCGTCTTCAGAACTAATCTTATCAGAAATGCCTTCTGAAGATTTTCGGTCCGATATTTCAATCTCCCTGCTGCTTTCAGAAGATATTTTGTCTGATAGTTCATCTTTGTCAGATCGGTCTATTTCTTCAGCTTCAGTTACAATCATCTGGAATTCCTGTTTAGTTTTTGGTAAATCTAAATCAATTTGTAAGTCACTTAACTTTGATATCGAAATCGACTCAGTTCTTGAGTGAGATCGCTTCGGAGTCATTTTCTTGAAGATGGGCTCTGCATCTTCCGCCTTATCAGAACCAGAGTCTTGTTTCTCTAGTTCCACAGCTTTGGGATCAATTCTCATTGATGTGAAACCGACACTTTCTTCGAATTTCTCATCACCAAATCCACTACCTGAATCAATAGTTTCCTCATATTCCGCTCTTTCATCAAAGTCAGATGATGATACCTTAGCCTTTACATCTGATTGATCTGATTTCAATGATTCAGCTTCTGAATGTCGTCGTGAGTCAGTATGCTCAGAGTCTTCTAGAGAGTCTGAGTAGATGCGCTTAGAGAAGAAACATTCTTGTACAGAATCATCTTCTGGCACTGTTTCAATGAATTGGCGAGCTTTTGCGCTTATTACTGGCGATTCTTTTGGCGATATCTAAAATATGATTAATGATTTTATAAAAATAATACATTTTCTTAAAGAAATAGGTTATAACATTTACTATAACTACACATTCATATTTAAATAAGTCTAATAAAATTACCTTTTCTGCTTCCCTTGGCACCAAAGCAGATTCAAGGACTCGCGAACTGTGTTCACTTTCATATTTAATAAATTCTAATGTTTGATCTCTAGCACCTTTTCTATCTGATATCGTAGTAGTAACAGTCTTAATTTCAGTTTTAGTTACAGTTGGTTCTAAATCTTTATCGACATGAGGCTTATGTGCTGGACTTGTGCCAATCTGGTCATCCAAGTCTGAGAATTGTGAAGCCTCATCTAGTGAGTCACTGCGGTGTTTTGAATCCTTTGAGTACACCTGGTGACAATTAATATTGGTTATAATCATCAAACATGAAGAGGTTTCCCCTAGTTCTATGAAAGCCTTCACATATTTTATGATAAAGGCATTTCAAGTACTTAACATTTTTCGTACAATAAACTTTGTTAATTAACACGTCTAAAATAATGATACTTTAGTAGGTCAAGAATGATATTAACCGATCAATCTTGAAGGTACTTCAAAGCCTGACGTCTAAATTCGCGATTTTCTCGAAATTGCTATTTAAATCAATTTGATCTCATCGTAAACCCTTAGCTGACTGACTTAGCTGTTAACACAAACACGACTATAAAATGAAACTTTCGCATTGGTTACACTTACCTTCGATTCAGTTTGGGACACAAAGCTGAAATCTTTCTCAGTGCTTTGTTGTATGTCAGCTAGTGAATCGGCCTTGTCAATAGCTGATTGTGCAGGTGATTCCTGTGATGTCAATTTGCTGATCATGTCAGTGGTTTCTGATCCGAGTGAGTCAGTCTTTGTATGCCGGCTTAAATCCGATTTCACGCTCGTCACTGATACTTGTGCTTCCACCTAAAAGTTTAAAACATTAGAGTAGTGTTCTAGAGAAAAATGAAGAGATTTTGACCCTCTATTACTTTAATTATATATTTTATTACTTACCTTATCCTTTATGACATGGTCACTAACAGAAACATCTTTTTCTTCCAATGTTTCCGTGATTTCTTCTTCACTAACTTTCGCTCGTAGTTCTTGAGTGAGTTGTTTCTCCAGTTTTTGTTCTCTCATAATTGCCGGTTGATCATCTTTCTTGTCATCATCACCTGGCTTTCTGCCGTGATCATCCTTCTGATCTTTGGGTAACCCATCAGGCTTCTTGTCAAATATGTCTCTATCAATTTTGAATTTACTCTTTTGTTCTAGTTTGTCTACTTTTACAGTAGTTTGAGATTCAGTTTCAGTCTCAGAATCAGTAGATTTTTTCAAGAACTCGCTATCTTCTTCTGAAGAAACTTGCACTAACGTAGAATCAGTTCTCATCGTTTTATGGTACGGTTTGGATTTCTCATCTAATTTAATCTTAGAATCGAAGTGTTGTATCGTTTCTTTAACAGATTTTACTGTTTCAACATGTTTCTCCGTTTCCACAGATACTTTGTGTGTGACATGAGTTTCCATACTTGATATTTGTTTAGATTGTTCCCTTACAAATTCTTGTGTATACTCAATACCTTGGTCCTGTTCTAGAGTATGCTTCTTCAACGCTTCTTTCGTTAATTTGACTGTAGTCTTAGGTAACTCAATAGAAGATTCCTTAGACATTTTTGATTCGAAAGAGCTAATTTTGGCTTTCAATGGTGCTTCGGCGATGTCTTTTTCTTCAACGACTAAATCAGGTGATTTGTCACCGTCATCTAACTTTTCTTCTACCCTAGATGTGGCTATTTCTTTCTGTGAAATAACTTCTCTGGTGAAAGTATCAGTCGTTTTGACTTCAGAAGTCTCAGCGGTCACCGATTTCCTTGGAGTGATCGTGACATTTGAGAAATCTCCTGATGGGAATCTCATGGATTCGTTTCTCATATGCCTTTGTAGATGCTTAGGCGTAGGTTTAGCTGGTGATGAAGGGTCGAACTTTCGGAATTGTTCGACTGGTCTTTCTGCTGGCTTTGGTTCCTCTTTCTTTGGCTCAGGAACGTCTTGGACCTCAGCCTCTTCTTCAACTGTATCAGGAGACGTCTTTGATCGCGTCCTTTCTAATTTTGGTTCCTTATCCATTACCTATAAAACAAACAAACCGATTGTGATTTAAATAACCGTTGGCGATAAGCCAAATGGAAGGTTTATAAAAAAATACAATATTTACTTGTTGTTCGCTGTCTTGATACTTCTTTACAGGTTTTATTTGTGTCTTAATTTCAATGATTTCTTCCCTGATTTCCTTCTTTTGTTTTGAAGCAGGAATTTTGCTAGAACTCAACTTTCTTGTGATTTGCTCTTTTCGTTCTGCTACGCTGCGCTTGACATCTGAAAACAATCGTGTTTCATATAGCAACTGTAAAGTAACCTACCGTATTTCCAAAATAATCAAATTATACTTCATATACATGAATTTTAACACAGTGCACACAGAAGTAACACCCACTTTTCACTATTTATGTTATGAGTCCCATGTAATAGGGGGTGAGCCTATTGGCATATACCGGGCACAATTCCAGACTCCGTGCTACTACTGAGGTTTTTTTTAAAAAACCCAATAATATTTTGCCCGACCCGGGAATCGAACCCGAGACCTCTTGCCCGGCAGTCGCACTTCCGACCACTCGGCCAACGAGGCAGTCTGTGTACATGAATTTTATTAGTAGAAAACAATCCGTAGCCTTCACCTTCATCTTCTTCACTATCTTCACTTGGCGTAGGAGTCCTTTCTATTTCACTCTTATCGACTACAGATTTTTCTTCAGGAGAATATTTAGCTTCATCCTGATCATGTTCATCTCTATGTTCTGGGATCTGATTCTCATCGTATATCCTGTCTTTGTGTTTGTTATCTTCATCTGCTGTAACAAAAACCATTAAGTGGTTACATCAGATTCAAGAATACGCTAAACATTGCTTCATAGGCTGAAAAACAAATGTTCTACGAGTGTTTGTCCTGTGTATCATGGCTGTTTTGTTTGAAAGTATTGTATGTTGTCTAAACAATACAAAATTCACGCATTGTTTGTTATATTTGAAGTAGAAACATTAAATGTATTAATGTCAAGATACGTTTAGAGGCGTTGAAAGAAAAATTACTAACAACTGGGATGATGACAGAGTATGAAAATTAAAAATCTAATTAGTCCGTAAGTTACATAGGTAATGAAAAAATATTAGACACGTATTTTTTTATTTTGTCGTATAATTAAACAATACTTAGATAAAACCAATCAAAGTTTAGGAGTGGGGGCTAACACGTCATTTCTACGTATAAAATGTACATGTAATTAACGTCACGCGACATTTCAAATCAATATATCGTCGAAAGTATTCGTTTCAGTAAGAAAATAAAAAAACGTGTCTAACGATTTAAAATAATCTACCAGACGGACATTAAAATAAAAATTAAGCATCTACCCAATTATCATGTTGAGAATAAAGTTCAGGACTCAAGTAAATAAAGTAGTAGGTACAGAATAAATTTACGAACCTTTGTAAGCTTCAATTTCTTCCGAAGCCTGCCTCTCCTGGTAAATATTACGTTGGATACGTCGTTCATTGGTCAACTCTGATTGTGGCGCGATGATGTCGTCCCTTCCAATACGACATAACGCTAACTCTAGAGCATTATCTGTAAAAAATATATGTTTTCTTCATTATTATGTTTTCGACTTCTACACAATACCAGCGCGACAGTCGCCGCGTCGCGGGTCGCGGAATGTTGCTCATGAATATGAGCCTCTAGCATGGCTTGAAACCAGTCGAGTTTCTCGTCAAACAGTTACGCGAGTAAGCCGAAATCGTAATAATTAATTTAGTATGTCTTACGAAAGTTATGTTAACATCACGCCTTTTATCCCTAAAGGGGTAGACAGAAATGCACACAGAAGTTACACCCACTTTTCACTATTTATGTTATGAGTCCCATGTAATAGGGGGTGAGCCTATTGCCATATACCGGGCACAATTCCAGACTCCGTGCTACTACTGCCTTTTTTTTAAAACCCAGTATTACTTTGCCCGACCCGGAATCGAAACCGAGACCCCATGCCCGGCAGTCGCACTTGCGACCACTCGGCCAACGAGGCAGTCAATATATGTTTTCTTATTTAAAAAACGGGATATTCGTCATGAAAGTCGAGAAATTGCAGTTCTATCGATAATTTATGCGAAGAAGAGACCGGGTACTACCTCTAGTAAATAATGAAAATCATTTGCATAGTCTTGGTAGTCTTCAATTCTGTCTCTTACACAAGTTTTTCTTACCTAGAGCTTTGGTTCCCGACTGCGTCTTCCACAGTTTGAGCATGAGCTGCGCCTGCTCAGCCGCTGTGATCCTCTTTGCTTGTATTTGGTTAACCGTGGCCACGCTTACTCCAAGTTCGTAAGCTAACGCCACCCAGTCCTTGCCAAGGAGGTTGCAGATGTCTTCCAACCTATGGTTACATTTGCCATTTAACTAATAGCAGAAAGTTTGAGGAAATGTTGATAAAGCCTTTAACTGCCGACAAAAACTGTTAAAGACCAATCCTCCGCTAGCGTCGGACATCATTGTCCGACACGGCATCCAATGTGTTCATATTCTACTTGACTAATAGAACTACTGTTCAAGATAAAACATTTTCAAAATATCGATTCTCATTTTTATAAGAAACAGTCTTTGCTTCTATTATCCGACGGCTAGAAGGTCAGGTCTACTTAGTAAAAACATCAATATGATGATGTATCAGAGGAAGATGCGAAAATACCTATTTCTCTTTAGTTACTAAAACTGTAGGGTCCATAAATATACTATACCGTGGGTCGCTGAGCCTCTGTCGCCAGATCAGCTCTTGTTCTTCAGTGCGCATTGGCACCGTCTCCGTAGGAATAGGAGACGTCCTCTCTTCATCAGGCACCATGATGTTGAGGACAGCAATCTGAGGGCCAAACAGTCCTTCAGTATCATTACATCACTATAAAACAAATAGCACAAACTCATAGAGATTCAGTATATGAGATGGCTAATTTGCTACAAATTTTAACCAAAATTTCCACAAGAAAAAATATTTTGCTGTACGAGATAAAACAGGTTATCTAATTGCGACGTCTTATACCTCTATAAAACAAAATAACAATGGATAAAACTGGGACATTAATCACTTTATTAACTCTTTGGGTACCGTCATTATAGACACAATTAAAGAACAATAGGTTGCGGTCATCGGTGTCCTCGCGGTATCCGATCCATGTAATGATTACTACTAAAAAGCTACTCACAGGTGCTGGTGATGGCTCTCCCTTAGGAACCTTAGGATCCCTCATGAACTGACACCTGCAGATTGGCTCCAAGTCCTGAGTCTTGATCATGACAGGGAAGGCAACTCGGTTCTCCCTGAATGCTCTGAATGGTATCGAGAGCTGTTCTCCTGACTTCGCCACCGGTACCAAGTTTCCACCGAATTCCAGGTATACGGGTTTACCTTCGTGCACCTGTTGAGGGTTTAAAATATAAGTTTTTGTAGATAGAACTAAACTGAACTAACTTGTGTTGTAATATTTTATTTTTTGAACAGGACTATATTGCACTGACTTATGGTATATTTCTAAATTTTTCAATATATAAAGAAAGAGTTTGTTGTCTTTACTAAAAGCTCACTGACGCTGCGCGACGCTGCTCATAAGGAAGAACCCCTCTGTGGTTCGAAACTAGTAGAGCTTTTCTCAGTATATTCACGTGAGTAACCCGCGATTGCTAGTTAATTTAGTATGTCTTACGATAGTTATTATAAAGACATAGTTTGCTGTCTTATTTTAGGTATATTGTTTTTTCTGTCGATGAAAATTACTCTGAGAAGGTCATAAATACAAATACGGTTCAATAAATTCCTATTGTTGTGCAAAATCGAGTTGTGGGAAATATGATTACCGCATATAAAATTGTTATAAATACTTACTGTTTATTGGCATTCATAAACCAAATTCTAATTATACCCCAATCAACTGTTTCTATTTAAAATGATCACTAGGAGTTTCGTACCTCAACATCCCTGCTCTTGGCGACTTGGATGAACCGTTCGATGCGCTCTAGGGTCTTATCCTCCTTATCATCAGTCACGCAGAACATGCGCAGTTGAGCCTGGCACTCGTCAGTGCGTTTGGCATACACCACGAAACGAGCCATGAATGGTACATGGATAGCCTCCCTGAAATTAACAGGTCATGGTATAATTCAAATTTGAGTCTGGTCTGGAGACAACTTAATTTTGAAATTACATATTCTATGTATCAAAGACATTGTAGAACATACTTTTTTAAAAAGAGTACATAACGAGTGGAGTTTCTTACTCGTTCTTCTCCATTCGGATTCACATTTTGGAATGAGCACCTAGCTTCACTGACGGACTGACTGACAGACTATTATTTATTTTGTATTCGTTGACGTTTAAAAAGTACCAAATTATGGTTTAATTGAAATAAATGCTTTGACTTTGACTATGTACATAACTTAAATTAAGTCTCCAGAAAACCTAACGATAAAGGCGAAATATATTTTTAAATTGTTACGAAATCTTCATTTATGCCTAAAAAAAAATAGGTTTCAAAAACATCAACCCGACCCAGCACCGACCCTCGTAATTATTTATAAACAACAAGGATAAGTACTGTGTGTTAATAGTTATAAGGAACAATGGGTTTGATATGTTAATTTTAACCTAAAACCCAAAATACTACATAAAAACTACTAAAACTAAATAAAAACAAAAAATACATCAACCCATAAGTCAAGACTTAAAGTCCTTTTCTATTTCACATTACCTGTATAACTCAGTCGCCATTTTGGTAGCATCCTCAACGTGTCTACAATCAATCAGCCAGTATCTAGCCGAGACAGTAGTAGTAAACGAAACACAATCGTTCACAAACGTAAGAGGAGTATTCTCCGTCACATCTTCCCAATGAGCTCGATTTGTTCCACCTGCCATCATAAAACCGTCATTTTACACCCTATAAGCATCATAGCAACCAAATACATGCTCTGCAACAATATACTTTATACTGCTACATTTAAAATGCTTTTTAAGTTTGTCAGTTCAGATGAAAGCTATGAGGCAGTATTTTGCGGCTAAAACGCTATTTTTCAACTGCCGTGATGATGGGTCTACCCTATAAATGCATGCCAAAGCAGGCTTGTAAGTTAAACTACACAGTACGTTAAGTATTGTTGTTTTAGTAATATACACTCTATTCTTTACTACTTAATTAATAAATTTATGTGTAGTTATAAATACAGATTTCTGATAGCTTAAGTTAAGATTTAGTTATATTAAACCTAAACATAAGAAGACAGAAGTAATGTAAGTAACCGATGTAGAAGAAGATCAGAAACAAGAAAGACAGGTCAGTAAAGAAATCATTAGAAATAAAGAAACGTAACATAAAATGTTTCCAAAACGGCCTATAGCAAACACACAACAAGCAAAGACAACACATCACACAAACAAACAAACAAATAAACAAAATAACGTACCAGTAATACTTTATAAAAACAAAAATGTGACTAATGTGGCACACGGTGAACTGTAACCTGTTTCTTATAAATAGTGTTGTTGTCTTACGAAATGAAAATGAATACTATCAAAAACGAATCATCGAAACTGCACGAGGCTTTTCGGAAAACAGATCTCTCGAAGGACATTCACTGAAATAAAATCCAAAAGTTCAACGGAAAACAACATAAAGATGTAAATAATAACGTGTCCAGTGAAACAATGGCAAGAATAAAGGAACGAGACAAAATAAGAGAAGATGATGTGAACAGATCGATAGGCCGTTTTGGAAATAAATCACTGATTCTTACAAGCAAAGTAATTGAAGGGAACATTGACATTTAATGACATGTGAATGGAGATGGCACCGACTCGGAAGATCTTTACGCTTATACTAAACAAAAAACAGGTATTTATCGTGTCGTGTTATACAATGTGCCAAAACAGTTGCAGTTAGAATTCTATTTATGTTTGTATATTTTGTACTAAACCGCCATGTTAACGTGAACGTATCGCTGTGCAAACTCTTGACGTCCCAAGATTCATTGGATGGTTATGATACAGAGTGAATGTGACTTAACAAAGCGTAAAAATTTCAGCCCGTGCATAGAGGAAGAATGTATGAAAAGCAAGATATGGAAAAGCATTCAAAAAGTGATAGAGGGAAAAAAAATAATGTAACCGATATTTATACTCGAACAGCCACGACACTGAAGAGTATAAGTATCACAAAAACAATGATTTATGAGAAATAAAAACACGATAGTTTAAAGAGTTAGACAAATTAACGTTGAAAATAAAATAAACGAAACTTAAACCGACATTTTGATTTTGTTTTTGTATAATATTTCTAATGTTTTTACCTTCGAGAGATCTTTTGCGAAATACCCCTGTTGGTGCGCGCCGATAGATGGCAGCACATTATTTAGCGCCACACACGGTGAGCGTGCAACACACACAAACACACGAGAACAAAGACAATGTAGACACGCACATAACGGGCACACAGGGACAATGTCCCTCAGCTGCTTGTGTATTTGCTATAAGCGGTTGGCTGTTTGCTCTGTCTTAGATAATTTCTTTCCCTTCAACTATCATTATGTATGTTTTGGCTCGAATGAAATGATTTCAAACTACGCTATGTTTTATTAACATGCTCATCCTGCTTTCTATAAAATGGGGAGTCAGACTAAACCCGTAATTCATTGTTCTACACTAACCAATAATATGATTTAAGATAAAAAAGACTATAAAAATTTCGATTAACTATGAATACTCTATTAAAATTTAAAATGTCAAAATCTATAGTCTACCGATCTCATGTAGAACTATAATTGTTACCTACAAATTGATTCGTAATGAATTATTTCTGTTTGTCTATTAGCCTACACTTTCAATGTGTTGTAATGGAATATTGGTATGAGAATTGTATTTCCTTTTTAATAACTTAAGCAAACTCAGAAGCGTATTTCACAATTCCCGTAGATAGACCGATTCACAGTTTTTGTAGGATATGGCGGTAAACGAGCAGACGGATCACCTGATGGTAAGTAATCGGCGTTGCCAATGGACACCCGCAACACAAGAGGAGTTAGAAGTTACCACATACATTGGTTATATTATCCAGAATATCTGGTTCTTTTTGTAGTGATTTCGGCCTATATTTGGGCACTGTTTGTAAGCTTTATACCTAACTGTAGGCACACTTACCTTCCGTGGCAAAGCATGTCGTCAAGTTAGCGAATGTAAGCAATAATCCATTGCAACACATTGCGTTCATCTATTTGTTACTGAAACACATTTGGACTGTCACAGACACATCTCACTGTAGATGTAACAAACACATCTACAATGAATTTTATGGTACTTTAACTTCAAAAATAGGCGTTTTGCAATCCTGATACTATCTTTAGAATCAGAAAGAAAGTATTTACTATGTTTACCAATTGTAGTATCTGAGATTTTGGCATTATTACAAGAGCCATTATCATGGATAATACTAGTAATAAAATTAGTAAATAATGCATTTCTAGTTCTAATTATAGGCATTATGATACTTTTATGATCTTTTTAACTTCTGTCCAAATTCGTTTTTCAGTAACCAATGAGATTTTTGCTCTTCTTTTAAAAACAAGCGAATCATTTTAATTGTACCTGATATGGAGCAGAGTAGTCTTAACGTTGGAGCTGATGATGTGCTGTACTGGTTCGTCATACCCTGGGTATGAGGGCGAGGTGCTGGCATACTCAGGGTTATAGCTTTGTGGAACTTCCTTCGTCGAGGTTCTACTGTAACTACTGGTGACACTGCTACTCCCCGACCGAGGAGTTTAGCAGTCAATTCTGAATCAATTATTTGGGCCTGGAAAGATTGAGACGCATTTCTTTACTTCTATCTCTATTCTCTTCAAGTTAAAGTTCATTTTTCTTTCCAGGTGTTTTATGTGCATGTTTGTCATAGTTTTTAAGGGTTTTTCTGTTATTCTCTAAAGACCAAACGTTAAGTCGTCGAAGCATCATGCTGGTGTTGGCATATTAAAGGCAGTGTGGAAGAAATAATAATTATATTATCAAATTCAGTACTTACCTAGCCTCGGAAACATAGATTTAGTTTTTTTTTAGGTTTTCAAAGTTTAGTGTTGATTTTTCTTTTTTTTTGTTTGTATGTGGAGTAAGGATAACTGTCTACAGATCTTATATACAGAATCAGCTATAATCTTATAAATAAATGATAGGAAGAGGGTGAAGAGCGATCGGTGCAAGATTAAGCAAATATGAACATTATGAAATCACAGGAAAAGCATATAAAATGAAATTATACACATTTATTTATAATCAACTCAGACTTTCATCTATTTCTCACACATGCGCTTTAAAACAAGATGCAACACACTTCGATAAAAACCAAGCTCAAAATAATATAGCAAAATAAAATATATAATGTACATCATGCAAGTCTCACGTTTGGTCTTTAGGAAATAAAGTACAAATTTGCATAACAATCCAAGGAACAATTCATTTTAAAAGCAAAGACATACATTACCCAATAAATTTAGCAATACTTAAATAACTACTTAACTAATTATATTACGTCACTCCAGTTTTATTTTTAAATACATAAAAATATCTTATAACACGCAGTGTAACTAAATATTAATTATAATTATATTATATATTACAAATTCATTCACAAACTCCTCGCGGTTAAAATGTTTCAACATGCCATCTTGCCTAAAGACCAACTAGAGAAAATCCAACCAGTAAATACCGCAGTGTGAGAAAGACCTAGAATTTCGATTGTCGACTCTTTTTTGTGATTTCATAGAATTCAATTTTGCTTAAATTGAAAACAAGATTTGCTGTCAATTTATTTATTGTTTATTGAGACTCCCTTCTACAATAAATAGTTAAGTGAATTTCTAAATTTATTGGGTATTACATAATCCCTATAGGAGTAACGTAGATACTTACATACTAATAGCGAAATACGTGTTTCATCAAATTCATACAAATCATCCAGTATTAAAAACATCAATATTGCTAAAAAGATAGAAACAGCACGATAATTTAATGAAGAACACTTTAAAATACAAATAATGTAAGCGAAGTTTTATTAAAATTGTCAACACTTCCTATTTTTTGAAATTTCTACGCTGACTGAACTATAGCGACATCTATTGGAAGCTCAAAGTTACATAAATTGAGTTTATGCTACTAGTGTCTGCTCATAGATGTCGCTAAATTCAATTGAGCGTACAAAAGAGTTATTTTTAAAAATTCCATCGATTAAATTTTAATTATTCGTACAAAATATTTATTAAGAAATGAAGTGCTATTAGTTTGAGAATTTCTAAGACTCTTTGATGAAACACGTCACAGCTAATTATATTGCCTTATAAGACCCTGTTCGATCAGAAAGGTATTTAAAAATGGGTCATAATCTTTAACCAACCAATATTCTATTCTCAATATTCTCAGTACCAAAAAAATAAACTTGCACAAAATATCAAATTATAACAAAACTTAACATCAAGGCTTTTAATCCCCAAATCTAAGCATAGGTAATAGTATACAGTTTAACATTCACTTTCCACACAATACACATGTCATGAGACTATAAAATTTATTTAATAAGGGGCTCACCCATTACTAGGAAACAATGACTCTGTGTTACCACAATTTTTTTTTTAATTTAATTGTACTTACTTTGTCGCCACTCGGTTTAACATTGTCTACTACTGAGAGTTTAGTTATTAAACAAGACCGCGTTCGGCTCTCTGATTGGCCGGCTCCAGTGCTCCAACAAATCAGAGCATCAAACGCGGTCTCATTTCAATTACTTTTAACGCAAAATTGACTCAGACTAGGGATTCTGATCTAATTTAATATTCTACCTTATAAGATCGAACAGGGTTCAAATCAAATGCTGTAATTATAAATAACCACATATATAGAATAAGTTATTAAAGTATACATAGAAAATGAGCTGCAAATAGATCTAAGATATGTAATGAAACATCATTCTATTAAAATGCTAAACAGAAATTGTTCACCAATAATAGTTTATAAAATGATTAGTAATAAAATTTGGCATTGATCTTTGTACTTTTGTTTTAATATGGCAAATGACTAGATTGCTTGGCAGAATATTATCTGATTTGAAATTAAGAGTCTTTATTTTCACTGAGATATAGGGTGGCCTGTGTGGCATCCATAGATGTTTTCAGCTTGAGACCATGAACAGTGGTCATTTAAAAATACTCTAGTACAGTGAAAACTTATGGTATAGAAATTACAATTTCATTTTTAAACTAATCTGATATTTCAATAAAAAATCAGTCTAATTTTATACTAGGTTAGCCAATAGTTCAATAGGTCTATATCAAATTTCACTCGATTCGGTCTAGTACTTTTCATAACAGAGTAGTTTCGTGTCAAAAAATTGAAATATTGGAGCCGGCTCTAATGAACCATCCAATCAGAGCGTCGAGCGCGGTCTCATTTCCATTATTTTAAACGTAAAACGAGCTCGTAGTAAGCTTCAAATTTTCAGTATAGTCATGCAATTAAAATAAAAGTGTTCTTTGTACAAGATAACAGTTATTTTTGCAATGAATTATACAAATATCCAATAGTAGTAATCAGAAAATATTTTGCCAAACTCATAATTTTTATGGTAATGGGTATACATCGAGAAACACAATCTTATTCTAACAAAACAATAAAGAAAATGAATACGACTTTAAAATCTAATTCCGTATTAAATAAAATGGTAACCTTATTTAGAATTTCGTTAATTTTTCATAAGCACTTCTGACTATGTCAGTTTTGACCGTTAAATTCAAATTCATTACAATTTGAGGTTATAGATATAATACTACCAAATTAGAGAGAACCGTTTTTTCTTGGAGACATTATTGACCGTGATCTTTTTCAAGTTTTTATCCTTAACACCTTTGCGAGGTTTGAATAAGTTTACCTGTAGGCCAACTTTGATCTTCTTGGTGAGAGCTCCTTGAGGGAAGACGGCTTGAACCTGTGGGACAACGGAGCTGGAGACCATGCCACCTGGAGATGGAAAACAAATTGAGTTTTACAATAGAAAACAAACACTTCTGTATTTGTATTGTAACTTTCGTGAGACATACTAAATAAATTATTATGTTTTCGGCTTACTCACGTAATAATTTTACGAGGAACTCGACTAGTTTCAAGCCATGCTAGAGGCTCATATTCACGTCGCGGGTCGGGAAATGCTGCTCATAAATATGAACCTCTAGCATGGCTTGAAACTAGTCGAGTTCCTCGTCAAATTATTACGTGAGTAAGCCGAAAACATAATAATTTATAAACACTTCTGTGTTAGGAAGATTAACAAAATATTAGGTAACTGGTAACTACTTGATGTAAACCGGTTTTATAAGCGAACTTATTACTGATAACTATCACAGACTCCATAATTTTTTACAATTTCAAAATTCAAAATCCCAGAAGCACTTTTTACACTCTCTCTCAATCACTCTCTTCTCAAATTATGTACTTTATTACTGAGAGTAATCAATTCTTCTCTATTAATTCCTAGTATTCTTAATGCTTGGTGAGTTTATACCAACCTTCAGGTCCAATAGCGTGGACCTCCTGTCGAATACGCGATATCACCGCGAAGTACTGCGGGAAGTCATGAGTCAGGATCCTGGTGACGCGTGGAGCATCCCAGCCTTTCTCGTCTTCATTCGTCTCTGTAGGTAATAAGATTGAAGATTAGAACACGCATGCAAATGCAAAAAGTAGAAAATAATTAGGGTTTTATTAAAATAAATGAAACAATCTTTTTTATCGCCTTAACCTTATCACTAAGTTAAGAAACACTCAAAAGCAATTTGGTCTTCTAAAGTCAAAGTCAAAGCATTTATTTCAATTAAACCATAGTTTGGTACTTTTGAAACGTCAACAAATACAAAATAAATAATAGTCTGTCAGTCAGTCCGTCAGTGAAACTAGGTGAAGTTAGGTGCTCATTCCAAAAAGTAGATTCGAATGGAGAAGAACGAGCAAGAAACTCCACTTCTACAACTATCCTTACTCTTGATAACCTATTAAGAGCCTCTCGGCAAAAGCATCACGAGTAATGTGCCTATATCACCATCCTTACTAATATTATAAATCGGAAAATGAGTTTGTTTGTTTGTTTGTTTGTTCCGCTTTCACGCCGTAACTACTAAACCGATTGCTTTGAATTTTTGCAGACGTAAAGTTAGAAGTCCAGATTAAATAATAGGGTACTTTTTATCTCGGAAAAATTTGATATTCCCGAGGGAAATATCGCTGTGTATATCGTTATATGTCACATAGGCTACTTTTTATCCTTTTGTGACGCGAGCGAAGCCGCGGGTAAAAGCTAGTAGGGAATAAAACAATGCCAGGATCATGGCAAACTGTTCTAAAATATTCTACGAACCTTCGATTTCAAGAGTTTCATGCAGAATATCCTGCACGACATCATCAGTGGCATCAGCGTTGTGTTCCCTCCAGCTGGTTCCATTGTCAGAGCGGAGGATCACGATCTCACGCTCCTTGCCACGAAGAGAAGCATAATGGGGCACTTCAAGTATTACCGGCCTGCAAGAAGTAGAATAATTGGTTTTAGTGACAAAATAAATAATAGCAATTTATATATATGTATAAATAATACTTTTTTTTAAGGGGGAAAAATCATCGAATGACTGCTCCCGCTTCGGTGAGGCGGGAGGGAGTGTCAGGCTCTTACTGACTAAAAACTACCCCGTTCCTTCTCCTGCGCATCGAGCCGGAGCCCGGTAACCCGTTAGGTTCTCAGCGACTCCGAATATCGGCCCTATTGGGCCCCATCTGTAGTGGTCTAATGGCTCTTTGAGTCGCGCGCGGAACGCGACGCGCCTTTCGTATCGGGATATAAATAATACTGAATTCCTTTTTCCCTTGATCACGGCATCACGTGAATGACTGGACCGATTTCACTAATTCTTTTTTTAATTGTATTAATTATTATTGCGAGAAGATTCTTAAGACAGAAAAAAACCCGAAAATCCTACGGAAACGGGATTGCGCGCTCGAAGTCCCGGACAGAAGCTAATTATATTATAAAAATACGTTAATTTTAAGAGACACTTCTAAAACGTATAAGTTAGCTTTCATGTGTATGTATAACTATGTCTATTAAAGACAATAGAAATTAACACAATATATAATATATAATACATAAATAATAATAATAAAAAAAAAATATTTTCTCAAAAATACTCTACGGATACAAATTACAATATACAAATTTTCAGTTGTTTTATATTGTTTTGTATCTGTTGCATGTATCATTTACACTGTGTCTTATATTTAATTTCCTTTTCCTGTCGCAGGTCTGCAGGAAGAAATCCCTTAAGGGATATGCAGTACCTATGTACCTCATACTTGTAATGTGTCGTCCTTTGTAATATTGTCTGTGTGGTGTAGGTATATGAAATTATAAATAAATAAAAATTATTATTATATAATATGTTACAATTAAGAGACTGATATACCTCTATGAATACATACCCTAAAAATTTGGCGGAAACGGGTCCCATCTCGAGCACCCTGGCAGCCAGAGCTTCACCCTCCATCAGGGGCGGCATGTGGTTGATGCGGGATGGTTTTAGATACCTGAAATATGGAGATATTGTTAGCGTCAGGATGGCTGGACCAAACGAGATATATCCTTGAGACCACGTGCATTATTTAAATATCTAGAATTTCAGAAGTAAAATAAATAACAGACGCGATGGAAATCGTCATTAACAGTTTCAATAACCTTTCTATCTGTAGATTTGCTTACTAGAGATAGAATTTTGACATGAGTTCCATACAAAATGTGTCAAAAATCTATATCTAATAAGCAAATCTACAGATACATAGGTTATTGAAACTGGACGTGAGTAATATTTTCATTTCATGTCATGTCAACAACATTACATTCGAAGCCCATAGGGCCTACCGTATTCTTGTTCACGGATGACGCTAGTGTGAACCTCTCGTTATTCGCCCAATAGGGAAAAAAGAAACAAAAGAAAAAAAAACACGCTAAAAACAAGTGACATGTACAGATTACACTGTTGGTTTATAAATTAAATACTAATGGGTACATAATATTGATGTCCCAAGTCTGCGGTTAAATGGGACCAGTTCAGCATGTGCAAGATAGGATCTTGCGCTGGTATTCTACCTCTACTGGTCCCTTAGGGAATGAGCTAGTATCACACCATTGGACGTTTAATATTTGACAGTTACTGTGATTGGATAAAAAAGGCTATTTCAATATTTACGCCGTCTGGTGAGCAACAAAACGGTAGTGCCCATTTAACACTGACTGTACGGTTGGCGCGGTGGCTGGCGCGGCAGCCCGGGTTCGATTCCCGCACGGAACAATTCTTTGTGTGATCCACAGATTGTTGTTCCGGGCTGGGTGTCATGTGTATGTGAACTTGTATGTTTGTAAACGTACCCACGACACCAGAGAAAATCCTAGTGTGGGGCTATGTTTAAAAAAATACTGCCTGCCCTAGTCCCACATTCGAAAAATTTCCATAATCTACACGCTTGGTGAGCTGGTTGGAGATAGCTTAGACTCTAAGAAGTCAATAATTTACATACCTGCAAGTTATTCTGGTTGGCTGCTGAGCCGATAATGGAGGTACAATGACCCTCACACCTCCACCGCGACATCCACGCATCGCTCCGCCTCGAGCATCCACCAGAAATGAGACCAGGAAACTAGGAGATGAAGGTAAAACGTTATAATACATCGTGGCAGATGCTAATGACGAGGGTTGCTATGAAATAGAATATTAAAAAAGTCCCGAGTGAACAGGTTGCTCATAAGTAGGCGTGCTCCATCGTCGGCCACATCATCGCTTACCATCAGGCGAGATGGTGGTCAAACGTCGACCAATAAAGTATAAAAAAAAAAATTAAAATCATAATTATGAAGTTCCAGATTTGATAAGTCATTAGAGCAATTGATAAAACCTTTAAAAGAAAGATGAAATGACCAAAAATTTATTATTGTAAAGCTAAAACTCTCGTAATGGTCACAGTAGTTTAACTATCATTAGATCAAACACAAACGTTGATGAAATGACATAGTAACATAAATCTATCAGATCAACAGAGCATTGTAATTGAATAGATACTATTTATAGTAAAAAAAATACCACTTACTTCTTCCATTGCAATTTCTTCCTGTAGATCCCAGTAAGCATGCGCAACAATTTGTATTAAATGTTTACATTCTGAAATATAACGTAACATCACAATCATAAAGTATTTCCGCGAAACAATAACTTTTGAATGATCTAAAAGCTGTACTACATTTTTATAAGCCATTATTATAGTAACTGTTTACATATTACGAGATTATTTTGACCTTGCCACCGTTTTATAAATATTATTTTTATTCACTACATTACCTCTACTCATACCAAAGGGATTGAAGGTGTAAAAACCTTGGTAGCGTTTAGAATATGAATAGTTCATATGGTTTTTATTAACCGTACAATTTATAAAACCCTTTCCGTAATACTAGGATTCCTCAGGGTTGCGTAATGGGACCAACCATACCAAAATTGATAATAAATTTAATACTTTTGAAGAAATTGGTAGAGTCGTATGTATAATTATGATACGTCTTAGTAGTATATGTAATATAATTATATATCTTTATTGTTGTCATTTGCATGTAAGTTTAAATAGGGATTTATTTATTTATCTTAGTCATACATCTCGAATACGCTTGCTTCTTGCATCGACCATTGTTTTTTTCTTTGCATCGCCCAAAGGTCTGGCTGCCCATGGCATTAAGCCCACTTTGTACAATAGAGTGTGCATGACGCCTTTTAAAATAAAATAAAACTACTGACTTGGGCTGTGTAGGATCCACGTTGTAGCAATATCCTTCTGGCGCCTGCGCAGTGCTGTAGCGGCTGATGCTCTTTACAACAACCTCCTGTTGAGGCTGGTAGGGCATGCCGTTTACGGAGCCTACAAAAAATAAGACAGGTATTTATGCATTATATTAAAGAAAATACTTATTTCACTTCTTTCAAATTCAATAATCTATTTATGCAGATTTGATATACATATGGTTATTACCTTGCGATAACTCCATAATATTCTTATGGCTCATGGCGGATTCCGTCCTCTCATCCTTAGTCACGTCTATTGGCAATGAGTCGTCTCCCAGAGACTTCATATCATCCGCCGTCAAGTAGCGGTATGGCTGATCGTTTAGAATAGTGTCTTCACCTGTATACGAGAATAAAAATATGTCTACAAGGAGTACTTACAAATTACTAGAACCGGTTTTATGTTGTTGATTTAAGAAACTAGGGATCTTAAGGATAACCTTGAGAAGTTGATGATATTTTAAATCAAATATAACAAATTGGCTTTCATATATATTCTCTCATGTCCCATATAGTAGTCATTTAAAATACTAAGTTTTGATCTTTGCTATTACACAATTAGTTAAACTATTAGTTAACCCACCTCCTTCTTCTTCGGAGTCAGACATGAATGTCTCCAGCATTGTCTCAGGAGCCACCACCTTGTATTTCTCCTGGGAGACTGGTGCGATGGAAGGTTCTGATACTTCTTTGAGGGTCTCCATGACTGTGACGTAGCCAAGTTTGGAGGCAATATCCAGAGGAGTTTGACCGTTCTGCATAAAGATGAAAAAGTGTAAGGTACAAGATAATTTTTACTTTAACAGATGTGAGTAATACGTGAAAGAGATTAATAAATTAGATTACAGTATGTTTGTTGATCGTAAGGATAACTAGTTTTGAAGTTTAGAGAAGGATTCGTGTTTCAGAACATGACATTACAAATATTCTATATTGACATTCATTTCGGTAGGTAATTCGACAAAGATCAGGGGAGTATTCTTACCGTGGTAGTAGCGTTGGCATCGGACTTATGTTCGAGTAGAATGTTCACAATATTGATGTGACCCTGCTGGGCGGCGTGGTGTAGCGCTGTGTATCTATTGAGAACAGTAAAGAACTTTAATCGTATTACCATTGACTTGTTTTGATTTAATTTTAGGTGTGTTCGAGGTAACGATTGCGTTAATTATTTACATCTGCTTTGTTTCTTTATGTTAAACAATTAATCGTATAATAGTTTTTACCCGTGTGTTGTCTGAGCTTTGACAGAAGCGCCACTTTCAAGCAGGAAGCGCACCATGTTGGCCTGGCCGTAGTGACTGGCGATGTGCAGCGGTGTGTATCCGCCTTTAGTGCCTATATCAACCTGAAGAAAAAAGTAGATGTTAAAATTCGAATATGAGCTACTTTCTAGTTAGAAGATTTGGTTTGGTTGAATGTGTATTTAGCTTTTTTAAGAACAATCCTCTGAAGTAACATTTACCTCTGCACCATTCTTGACCAACAGTTGGGCGACAGGCACCCTGTCTTCTTGAGCAGCTAAATGCAGAGCTGCTAATCCATTCTTAGATTGCTGGTCTACTTCAGCACCATGCTCTAGGAGCAACGAGCACATTTCCGTGTGTCCCTGAGAGATAAGAAAACAAAATTAACATCAATTTTTGAGATTTTGGTCGTTGTGACTTTAAATTAAACAGGATTTAATAAAAAAAAAAATTCACTAGTAATCAAATTTGGTTATTGGTAAATATCAAAGTTTTTCACCAGATGTGTTTTAAATTCCTGTATTATCAAAAACTTATAAAGGACCACTATTTCAGTTTTATATTCTTTGCCAAAAATTTGTTAATGGCTGTTCCTATTTCAGTTTTTCTAACAAAGAGTATTACCTGTTGGGCTGCAAGATGTAGCGGTGTGAAGCCAGCCTTGGACTCTGCGTTGGTTAGAGCTCCATACTCCAGCAGAGTGGCTGCCGTCTCCATCTGGTTCTTGCGAGCGGCTATGTGGAGAGGAGTATGTCCGTTCTTAGCTACAGCCTGGAGAAAAGGATAATGTAAAAGTTACCTATAAGCTATGTATAGAAAACTGCCTGACGATGTATGTGCTCTACATTTCGATAAAGGGTAACTTCACCTAGTTCTTCTCTTACTGACATGATAATCAGCTGGTATGAAATCGTAATACTTTTATGTTCTTCTTTGAAACTGTCACCTTTATCAATTTCATCCAATTACTGACCTTCGCATCAGCTCCTTTCTCCAAGAGTGTAGTGGCAACAGCTTGCTGATCGTACTGAGCAGCAATGTGGAGTGGTGTCATCCCATTCTTGCCAGCTTGGTCAGGTGATGCGCCATGAGCCAGTAGCAGATTCGCCACCTAGACATTATTTATAAAATGAAAGTAATGCCCAACTTTTAAGGTCAGGGCAGATACACTAGGTAAAGTAAAAAACATTTTTGAAAATAATTAAAGGTACGCACGAAAACTTGTGTAAAAATTCTGATGATGATAGGGCAGACATTACTATTGAAACCGTAATGTTTCTGTTATTATCCTTACTAATATTATAAATCGGAAAGTGAGTTTGTTTGTTCCGCTGTCACGCCGTAACTACTAAACCGATTGCTTTGAATTTTTGCAGACGTAAAGTTGTTAGAAGTCCGGATTTGCTTTTGTGACGCGAGCGAAGCCGCGGGTAAAAGCTAGTGTAAAATAAAGAAGAAAGCATAGCTGAACTTTCCCGTATTTATTTACTTTACATTAGATAACCAGTTATCACAAATACTAGTTCCCAAAAATTCATGACTGTATGGATTGTACAATGTACACATACCTTCAAGTTGCCGTATTTAGCGGCTAGATGCAGCGCTGTGAAGCCCTTCTTTGTAGTCGCTGTCAATGGAGCGTTGTGTTCAATTAGTGCGGCGGCGACCTGCGAAAAGGAATTTTATTTGCAACATGTTGCGTGAACTGTTTTGATACCAAATGTTTTTTGCTACGTACCAGTGCCTTTAGCCAAACGCCACTTTAGCGCTAGTCTACAGAGAGATGTATGGGGATGACACTGACAAGTGTCAAAATTTACGTCAATTCCATATAATTTGGTTTTCTATTCTACACGTAGACAAGCGCTAAGTGGCATTGGGCGACAGCTGCTGGATTAATATCTACACAGACTTTTGAACTCGATAAAATACGCTGTTCTTATCGGATATCCTGAGGTGTTTGGTAGACATTAGTAGTACATCGCCATTTAAATTGTTAATAATTCTGTGTTTTGAACATATTATACATCAAAGGAAATTATTACATTATTGATTAGAATTGAAATGAAATAAATATATACAACTTAAAATATAAATAATAGAAAACTAAAATATTTACACCTTAAAAAAAATATAAAAATATATCATAAGGCATCAAAGAAAAAATCTTCCTCATCGCTACCGTGAGGTAGGGTGCCAAATAGACTGGCTGCATTGCCACGTTGAATGGCAATGCTTAACCTTTGAATTAATTAATTCTGTGTTTGATCAAAAACACTTACGTCATGATTATGCTGTTTAGCAGCAATATGCAGTGGGTTGTAATGATCTGCAGTCATAGCTCGGACATCAGCCCCGTGTTGCAGTAACAGTACTGCAATGTCCACGTTCCCGAGTCTGGAAGCGATGTGCAGTGGTGTCTGGCGTTCCCGGGCCTTAGCTTCCACTGCTGCACCATTGCGGAGCAGGATACGGATTATGTCAGTCTGGAATAGAAGTTAGATGATTAAATCTCAAAGTAAACGTTCTTAATACGACTATCAATTCCTTTTTTATAACATAATGCGAATCAACAGATGAATGATGATGGTAAGCAATAGAGTAGTTACCTAAATTTTATTTTAATGTCCGTCCGGTACATTAATTTAAAATTTTAGACATTCTTTTTTTTCTTTTGTCACAAAATTAAATGCTTTCGACGATAATTATATTAATCTGAAATGTCATGTGACTACCTCTCACTCCTAAACTTAACGTCATTTTATCTAAGTATTGTAACTTTATACGAGAAAATAAAAAAATACGTGTAAAATATTTTTTCATTATCTAACTGACGGACTAATTAGATTTTTAATTTTCTTACCCTGGAAACTACCCTATTGGCGTCGCCCATGGACATTCGAATCATTATGAGAGTTGAAGAGCGTTGTCGGTTTTTTAGATATTAAAAAATTGGAATTGTGGACAGGGTGGGAGGAAAGCTAAAAATGTAAAATTCCATTACCTGGTTGGCCCTCGCAGCCAAATGCAAAGGCGTTTCTCCCCTGACAGTAGGTACGTCAGGGTTGGCCTCATGCTGCAGCAGGTAGATCACGATGTTCATGCATCCCATGAATGCAGCTACATGGAGAGGAGTCAGTCCTGATTCTGTGGTGGCTTGTATACCTGTTCCAAGAAGAATATAGTTAGAAGAATTGAAGGAAAAAAATAATCACGACTTATGACTTGTATAAGCTTTACCAGAAAGTCAACTAAAGGATTTTCTATTTGTATGGTAGATATAAGTTGTCTTCGGAAGGTTACTTACTGGCACCATACTTGAGCAGCAGTTCCACCACCTTGATCCTATTCTTCTTGCACGCAATGTGCAGTGGGGTAAATCCGTTTAGAGCGCGCGCATTCGCATCTGCGTTCCTAAAAAGCATAAGATATGTTTAAAATTTATTATACACTAGCTTCTGCCAGCGGCTTCGCCCGCGATCCCAGGGGTAAAATGCCTATGTATCACTTCAGACCATAATCTACCTCTGTTCCGAATTTCATTCCGGTCCCTTCATTCGTTTTAATATGACTGAGTAACAAACATACACATAAACTCACATATTTTCATTTATAATATCGAGTCAAGCTAATTTCAACCATTGGCCTTTCAGTTACAGCGTAAAGTCTATGAATGAGTATTGTAAACGTTAGAGTAGACAAATACAATCAGAAATCACCGAATTGCTCAGCTATCGGGAGTTTCACGTGTTATTGTGAGTCATAAAAAAGATAGACATATGCTGTCGAGGAATATTTTTTATATAATTTTAAGGAGAATATTTCGTCACATGATCTATGTAGCTTTAACCTATAAGCCTGCACACGTGACGGAAGCTTAAAAAATGGAGTAACTTCTCCCGTTTTTCCAATATTTCCCTTTACTGCTCTGCTCCTATTGATCGTAGCGCAATGAAAAGTATACTATAACCTGCCCAGGAGTATGAAGAATAATTGTGCCAAATTTCGTTAAAATCCATCGAGTAGTTTTTGTTTCCATAACGAACATACAGACAGACAGACAGACAGACAAAAATTTTACTGATTGCATTTTTGGCATCAGTAGCGATCTCTAACCACCCCTTGATAGTTATTTTTTAAATATATTTTATGTACAGAATTGACCTCTCTACAGATTTATTATAAGTATAGATAACATAACATAACATCACGCCTTTTATCCCCGAAGGGGTAGGCAGAGGTGCACATTATGCCACTGTACAATGTAACACCCACTTTTCACTATTTATGTTATGAGTCCCATGTAATAGGGGGTGAGCCTATTGCCATATACCGGGCACAATTCTAGACTCCGTGCTACTACTGAGATTTTTTTTAAAAACCCAGTAATGCCCGACCCGGGAATCGAATCCGAGACCCCTTGCCCGGCAGTCGCATTTGCTACCACTCGGCCAACGAGGCAGTCTTTTTATTATTATATCTTCAATTTCTTATACTTTCATATCTTTTAATCATTGAAGACTTCATGGCAGAAGAAGAGAATGATCATATGCATGAATGCAATGGACGAGGACACATAAGTGTAAAGAAGAATATGAGAGAAACAAGAGTTTGTGAATTGGAAGATAATGACAAAGTTAGAATTGAAAAGAAGATATTGCACCAATTAGCTGGCCTACATCATCAATCATCAACAGCTTATAAATGCCCACTGCTGAGCAAAGCCTCTTCTCACACGGAGAAGGTTTGAGCATTAATCACCACGCTTGCTCAATGCGGGTTGGCGATTTCAAACTTATAATTAGAAATTATAAGTCCAGGTTTCCTCACGATGTTTTTTCTTCACCGTTTGTCAGTGGTATCCAAATAATCTTAGAAAGTACATATAACTCGGAAAAAGTCACATTAGTACTTGCCGTTGGTAGATTTCGAACCCGCACCCTCATGCATGAGAAGCGGGCGTCTTAAACATCCGGGCCACCACGACTATTATTAGCTGGCCTACATTACCCGTTAAATATTTACAATATCTTACCTATCCAATAAAAGTTTAGCAACTTTAGCATGTCCGCAATGGGCAGCGACATGCAAGGCTGTAAGATAGTCGACAGTGACGTCATCGACTGGTGCTCGGCGGGACAGCAGCACTCGAGCTGCCTCAGCATGGTCACCCTGAGCCGCCATGTGCAGGGGAGCCAAGCCGTTCTGTGAGAAGAAGAAATAGAATTAGAATCAAATGTTTCAATTAGACCAGTCATATGAGCATTGAATATGCTTGTGTCTATTATTTTGTTGCGGTCAATTGTTGTCTGGTTCAAAATATAGGATAATTAATTAAACTAATATTTATAGTAAATAAACTCAATTGAATAATGAGACTCCGAAGAACTTAATCATAATTCAGGAATCGGTTTTATGTTCTCTGTTAGAGAAACTAACTTGTTTTTAGTGTGATTACCAACGCTGCAATATATTGGTCAAACGGCCGACAACTAATATAAAAAAATATTTTGAAAAATAGGCAGACGTATACATAATGCAGGTACTATTTGACGCTCACTATTTGCTAGTTATGCTATCAGCACCAAGTAACAGGGACCTGAACTTAAGTTTTCCAGAAATGACGTCTTGTTTCTTACCTTACTCTTGCTAGTAATAGGGGCTCCCCTATCAAGAAGGACCTCAACGACCCTCTCATGGCCTGACCGCGCAGCGCAATGCAGAGGTGTGAGTCCATCTCTAGTGCGGGCTTCGACGTTGGCTCCATTGTCACATAGAAGTGACACCATATTCTCTTTACCTGGAAGTTGATATGAAATTAGTGCTTATTGCCATTACTACTCGACAAGTTTAGGATTAAAAAAAAACAGTTTAGAGGAGCAATATAATTCGCTAAATAATGGTGTCTGTGTCTAGTGTATGTATCTGGCAAAATGCTGTTGTTGCAATGGCATGTCAATAAATCGTTTCGTTTGCCAGAAAAAGTGTCTCATTGTTCAGATATCATACGAGTCCCAGGGTACTCCTACTTCAGCACCTAAATACGACGAAGAAGCTAAACCATAACACTAATACATTACATATTTTAAACAAGATACTACCTCATATAATTTCTCCTGTATCATAGGAATAATCAGCTTTGTAGGAATAATTATGTATTTTGCGTAACTAAAAATATAAGGTTTACTCACCCCATTTAGCAGCAACATGTAGAGGACAGATGTTGTGCTTAGCAGCACAGTTGACATCAGCTCCCTTGGCCAGGAGAAGTCTCGCAACAGCCTCATTGCCGTAGTGGGCCGCGATGTGAAGCGGGGTGAAGCCAGACTTTGAAGTCACGTCAGGATTGTGTTCATTCTGATGGGAGGAGGAATTTAACACTTATAATAGAATACCTACATAAGAAAAGACAAAGGTGGAGAGTGATACTTATTGCTATATCTTAGTATCTTTAGTATGAAGTTACTGGCTGTTGCCCGATACCTTAGACCAAAATCCTACTAACTATCCTATCACCTAAGTCAACCCATACCCCGCCTGTAGGTATACCTTTCATCAAAATCCGTTCAGTAGATTCATCGTGATTGACGGTCAAACATACAAATTTCACATTTATAATATTGATATCAATGTCTTAACTGCTTAAGTCAGAACAAAACCCAATACTTTGAACAAGCATACTGGCGTAACAATAGAGTGACCAGCGCCACCTATACTTAAATAACATGAAACTATGGACTGGGTGTCCAATACCTAGTGAGTCAAAACGTTCATTATTGGATTTTAGGGGAGGGTGTTAGAATTCTACAAACCTCAAGCAATAAATTAGCAGCCTTGACGTCATCCTTCTTGGCAGCGATGTGCAGTGCCGGCAAGCGCACTCGGCCACGAGTGTCAGCTTCTAGAAGAACAGCCACTACCTTCTCATGACCCTGCTGCATGGCCACTGCCAGAGGAGTGAAGCCATCCTAGAAGAAGCAGATTATTAATATTGATCTTGACTAAACTTGACTGCATCGTTGGCCGAGTGGTCGCAAGTGCGACTGCCGGGCAAGGGGTCTCGGGTTCGATTCCCGGGTCGGGCAAAGTATTACTGGGTTTTTAAGACCAATCTCAGTAGTAGCACGGAGTCTGGAATTGTGACCTGTATATGGCAATAGGCTCACCCCCTATTACCTGGGACTCATAACATAAATAGTGAAAAGTGGGTGTTACATTGTACAGTGGTATAATGTGCACCTCTGCCTACCCCTTCGGGGATAAAAGGCGTGATGTTATGTTTTATGTGATCTTGACTAAACTAGACTAGAGGTAGAATAGATCTGCATCAGTCATGATATTGTTTAAACAATCATATACATACAATCTAGTATGGTCGTGTATGAACATTGTTATTATATTTACATTATAACATCAAGTTTGAAATTGGCTGCGCAATCGTAGCTTTGATTTGCTTACCTCTGTAGCAAGGCTCTGGTTGGCTCCATTCGCCAGTAAGAACTTCACGACGCCATCGTGGTTCTCCTGCGCCGCCATATAGAGGGGCGTAAAGCCATTCTGAGATTGGATGTTGACCTGAGGAAGAAAAGGCATTTTTAGAAGATATAGCAAAGAATATAAGAGTAGGAGGACGTTCATTTATCATCATACGGATGGTAAGTGATCAGTGCCATCCATAGAAAGTAAGACTGCGTGGTGTGGGTTGCTGACCTATAAAAGTTGGGCCTCCACATGGCTCACTCACACACGTAAGCATTTTACGCTGGCCATTTAAGCCAAAACATGACCTTGCTTTGCAGTCACGCTTCCCAAAAATTATTCAACGTGATATTACGTAAGTTACATAACAACATACGCAAAACATCAACAGCATAATTCACAAAAAAATCCGCACTCAAAAACGAAAATATCGAACGCTTAAACCATTAATTATCTGCCAAAATTTGGACGTCGATAAATTCGAAATTTCCGAAAATAAAACAATGAATCGAATCAATAAACGATGTCCAGATCGACGGCTGTTCCAATATTTATGTGTGAATGTCAAAATATTTTCAAAATTGATGATCGGTAAAGTGCTTCCGAAGAATTTGTTTTTATATTTGGAATACTTCATTCATTCATACGTTAAAACCATGTTAAAACTGACAGATAGACAGAACACATTCCTGAGAAATTTTTCTTTTTAGAAAACAATGTTGATTATTCAATTCAATTTTCAATGATTTAAAATTCATTCAATGTCATGAACAAGATTTTTGTAAGCAACATGATGATGTCTTGGTAACACAATCAATATCACTAGTTCAGTAATTTGGATCTTTGAAAATTGGCAACTTTGTACATTTTTATGTAATCTTTGAAATTTCCATTTTGCATCTTTATACGTGGGCTGCCTGTGCCGCCATTTTGGAAAAAGGGCGGCCAAAAACAGTTTCCCCCAACAGTTAATCCCCATTTTTCCTCCTTAATGATCGGACTACACCACCTATTTTTCGAATATAGCATTCAGTTCGTATGTCAGTTAAATAGTAGTTTATTCGAACAATCCACAAATGTAATCGTCTCCATCATTATAAAATCAGTTCTATGTAAAAAGTCTAAAAGGGGTTACGTGGATACAAGTTACTAGTCACTCGCACTATAGATATGTGATTGTCAATACAAGATCCATTCATGTAGAATGAACACGTTCCAATCCTTCGAATAAATTGCTCAGAGAAAGCAATGAGGTGGAAATTAGATGAAGATGAAGCAACGCTAAAGGTCAAGCTAATCAGATAAATGAAAACAGACGTAAAATTTATGCTATAGAATGATTACACACTCTTATATTAATTATTAATAAGATAATTATTATTACAAAGATAATACAGCTGATGTTAATAGTTTTATAAAACTATACAGTAGTTTTCGAATAAATGTTCAATAATGTAAATAAAATAAACCAGATGGATATTGGTAGAACATAAAAAACCATTTTGAGAAAATATCCCTACCCAATCTCTCCGAATCTCCAATCTTCAAATCCCTAACCACTAAAAAGCCGGCAAAGAACTTGTAACTCTTCTGGTGTTTCAGGTGTCCATGGACGACATCGATTACTTACCATCAGGTGATACGCAAGCTCGTTTTCCGGTCTATTCCATAAAAAATGGTAAAATGGACGGACAACGTTGTTAACAAAGAAAGTCTTGGAAATATAACCCTAATCAAAAGTAATAGTACACATAAAAAGGGAGATGACTCAGAATATAATAGTACGAAAACTTCCACCAAAACAGGTTGAGTCATCTCAATAGCAAGACTCATATAAATTATTACACACTTCTCTTTTCTTTTCTTTTATTTCTAAAAGCAATTCATTTCGTTGCTATACGATAGGTATTCTATTTACTTTATCTACGTTTATTTTATCTACGTCTTCTATTTCTATTATCCTTGTGATTCATAGAGTCTTGGTATATTCTAAATATATATCTGAAACACATATTTTGTCGGTTATGCTACAAATATGTTAGTGGCGAGCTAATTGCTAATCAGATATCTATCAGACAAAATACGTATATTGCTATCTTTAGAGGAGATCTGCCATAATCCCCCCGTTTGGCTGACGACTTGTAAATCTCGGTTACCGAAAATTGAAAGGGTGCTGCAGCTTGTCCTTAGATGACTGGCCCCATTTTTACGATATATTATCCGGGTCCATATTGCTACATGTCGGACATAATTTCAATGTTTTCATTCAGAAAAAAAATCAGTAATTCTTCATCAGACTTCATCACCAGCTTCAGCCAAACTTATCCATTTCTTTATTTCCAAAAGCAATTTATTAGCCCGAACATGATAGGTCATTAGTTACCATAACTCGTGTGATTCATCATTTTCCTTCCCAGCTTTGTTTATATACATCGTATACATAAACTCGACCAGATGTATTTGTTTGTTTACTAATATTTCTTTTTATATTGTTCTGTAATTGTTTTTCCTGGAAGTCGTAAATTGGGGTGATCAGTATCACCAATGTTGTAGTAGCAGTGAGTTATTTATCAAACCAGGTAGGTTTCCAGACTTCTTACAATTGCGAATTTGTTTTTCTTATAGGATAAGCCGGTAAACGAGCAGACCGATTACCTGATGGTAAGCCTTCGGCGTCATCTATGGACACCCGGAACACCAGAGAGAACAAGTACATTAGCGGCCTTTTAGGGATTAGGAATTTGAGGATTCTTGGGGATTCAGAGATTGGGGAGATTGGGGAAGGGGGATGGTTGTTTCAGGTTGGTTTTCTGTGAGGCCATGGTATCAATACGGTCGAGCCGGAGTCCCACACTTATTGTAATCAAATGCCAGACATGAGCTAGGATAAACACTAAAATCATGACCTGGTGCATCAGTATCATTAACTGAAATATGTTAACTTCTGCACTTGACCTTTCTCTATTCCAATTTTAAGTAAGAGAAAATTTATACTTATATGTCAATTCTATTAGCGGTAGCTATTATAAGTCTTCTAGATAAATATTTAGTCTTACTAACTTATAAAAGCCATTAGTATTAGTAGTAGTAAATTCCATTTGAACGTATTTTATAGTGTAAGTCATGACCTTAGATTCAAAGGCATTAGTACAGCAATCCCGATCTTTCAACGTTTATCTTGCCTTCTTTAATATTTTCCATCCTTTTATGTTTATTTGAATCGTTTCCAGTTTCTTTATTATCATGTTTGTATAAATCCTCACCTACCCTTGAACTTTAGTTTCGTATTTCTTTCATTTGGCAATGGTTAATGTTATTTGTATCTTTCCAGTTCGATTCGGTTATTTTAATGTTATGTGTTCCAATTTTGGATTTCCATGATACATCTTTTTCCATGAAAACTTTAGTATCATCGTATTTATAACTGAAGTAACCGTTTATACTAATATTTTATTTGGTTTTCTGCATTTGGAGTTGCTATTTTTAAATGGTTGGTCATGAATAGGTTAGTATAATAGTCACAAATTGAGCTGTTGAATTGCTCCTGATATTTATTCTAGCACATTCATTGATATCGTTGTTTTTTTACCTACTTCGCTGCTAGTAAAGTCGTTATATCATTTATACAATTACATCTACGCTATCACGATTAATTATATACATTTTCAAAAGTCTAATATGTGATAATAGGTTTACTCCAAGCCTATTTTGTCAGCCTAAAAGATGATCAGGGGCAACTCTCTGAAGGTCTGGCATTCTGCCAAATGTCATTAAAATTCAGAGCCTACCCCAACTTAGTCGAGAAAGATTAATGGTCAGTTTGAATAACGTATTTATTGGTGAATGGCTACTATAGATAGACTTATGGCGTAAGTTTCAAAGAAAATGGTTCAAGTAGACAATTCTTCCGACAGATAATTATTGAAAGTGTTCATAAGAGAAAATATTCTTATGGAGGCAGAATCATTTATAGTTATCCACCGTAATTCATTAACACGCTAAACGCTATCGATGACTAAGTTTGCGGGGATTAGCCTTTAACTATTTTTTATTGGTAGTCAAAGACTTAGGTACCATTTTTACGTAGTGTATTTCCTTATCCCTATTCAAACAAATACTAAACTAAGTAACTAAGCCTAAAATCATTATCTTTAGGATCATTTTTGTGCTTACCTGTGCAGAGTTCTGCACGAGCAGTTTGACAACCGCCTCCTGCCCTGCAAGAGATGCGATGTGCAAAGCAGTGTTTCCTTTCTTGGTGGCTGCATCGATTGCAGCTCCTCGATCCAGGAGCTCTCTGACAACTTCCACGTGGCCATCTTTGGAAGCAAGATGGATGGCGTTGAGACCGTTCTGCGGACAAAGAAAATAGTTATCAGGAGATTCAAGTTGGTTTTAAGTTTTATAAAGGTTACAATTCAGTTACTAGAATTTGATAGTTTAGTAATGAGAATACGTGGTGAGAGGTGGTGGTGGTCCGGAGGTTTAAGACGCTTGCATCTCATACATGAGAGGACGAGTTCGAAACCTACCAACGGCATGTACCAATGTGACTTTTTCCGAGTAACATTACTTTCTAAGATTATTTAGACATCAGGAAACATTTCGAGGAAACATGGGCTAAAAATTTATAATTATCTCATATATTTTAAGTTGTATATACATATTTTCATTTAGTAATAGTTAATATTAATTTTATTTATGTATATTGAATTAATAAAATATTAGGGGAAATTAAAAAATATATACCTATATATAAGTGGCCACTGGTGACGAACTGGTGGCCTTTTCTCACACAGAGAAACTTTGAGCATTAATCACCAGGCTTGCTCAATGCGGATTGGCGATTTTAAACTTATAATTAGAAATTATCCCCAAGATTCTTTACGATATTTTCCTTCGCCGTTTGTAACTGGTATTTGGATAATCTTAGAAAGTACCTACATATAACTCGGAAAAAGTCACATACATGAGAAGCGGGCTTCTTAAAACTCCGGGCCACTACGACTCACACACATAAATACATAAGCAACAATACCTAAATGAATTTATCAGTCCGAGCTCGTTTCGTAACACACTTTCAGGATAAAATATACTTGTTTTTCATTCTCGTCACGAAGAAGCCTAATCAAATTATGCAAATAATGTTTAAGTAATAATGGGGAAAGTACATTTGGGACACCCATTTTCTTTGTGCCCGTATTCAGAAGAGTAGGTATGACGTCACTTATGTTTATTCAGGGTGTTTCTTTTCAAATGAACCTGTTGCTAACTGGATTATGTGGCTAAAGAAATGCCAATCGATTGTAAAAGTGATTTCGTTTTAATTTATTTCAGCTTCGATCGAAGAAACTAAAATTGTGTTGTTTTCCGGAAGTTGTAATGTAAAAAATGATTTTTTAAGAGGAAAATCATCAAATTTTTCTGCCGCTTGGGTGAGGAGGGAGGGAGTGTCAGACTCTTACTGACTAAACACCACCCCGTTCCTACTCATGCACTTCGAGCCAAAGCCTTGGTAACCCGTTAAGTTAAAAAAAAAATGTCAGCATTCAGATTAATGATAATAAATATCGAAGAGTATTTTATACCCACTTCGTTTATTTTTTGTTTTGTTGTTTATTTAATCTTTTTCTTAGCTTTATTGAAGGTTCCGATTAGGTATTCAACTTCCTATCCATCAAAAATACTCCTGAATTTTTCATAAGCCTGTCATAACAATGTTAACCAAATTGTCTTCCGGTTCAATTTAACCACATTCATGTCTGAAACCTGATAAAGTCGGCAAGGTCACTAAGATTTTAATCTTTATGACCTTCATAGCTTAAAACTGTAACCATTTGACCTTAAATGGAAGGTTAGCAATTCTCTGATAAGAAAACAGCTGGTACTGCTTCTGTGGGGAAATATAAACCGTATCCAGGTAAATAGCGGTGTAACCATATCCATATTACATCCTATATTTACCTTTGTGTTCATTTTGCCTTAAACACTTTTTATGAATCTAAAAGTCAATTAATTTTTCATAAAACTATTCGAAGAATAAGAAACAGCATTCCATTTTTCTGGTTTCATAAAAAATCAAGATTAATTAGAAAACGCAATCTGTATATAATTTACTCATCTCTTTGCCGCCTTTTGCCCCAAAGGGCTAGGCAGAAGTGAACATTACGACACTTAATGCCACTGTACAATGTAACACCTACTTTTTACAATTTATATTATAAGTCCCATGTAATAGGGGGTGAGCCTGTTGCCATATACCGGACGCATTTCCAGATTCCGTGCTACTAGAGAGAATTATTTTAAAAACCCAGCAATACTTTGCACAAGCCGTGAATCGAAGAGATCCGAAACCCCTTGCCTGGCAGTCTCACTTGCGACCACTCGGCCGACAAGGCAGTCTTCTATCTAAATATCGATCGCAGCAAGCGTAACCGAAACTCAACTCTACAAGTGATCCGAAAACTCCTCAAATGTAAACAGCAAATCGTTTATATTCAATCAACCTATTTTATACAGCCTTGAGGCTTAGTAAAACACACAGGAATATAGGTCAGGAGGCTTTATATAGCCAACGGGGTCAAGGACGTAATGAATCAGGTCACAAAACGTACTGGCTTTTCAGAAGGACATTTGGAGGTCCTTTTGAGATGAAAAGGTAAGATTATTTCCCTGAGGAGTAAATAGAGGTCTGTAATATACTAAGGGGTCGTCCGGGAATCGGTAACAATACACACTTACAACTATTTTTTAAGTTTCTGTGTAATCAGGTGTGGTTTTCTGACTCTGTTCTGTTATGTAGAATTTTAAAAACTATTTTTTGTAACAAGGAAATACATCCCGAGACTATTAACACGATAAACCCACTTCCAGCCTCTCCACCAATAAAGAAATCACTTGAAAAGATATTATGGATTAAATGGAAATCAGCCTCTTCTCGAACTGAAGGAACAATTACAGTCCTCAATTTTATGATGCCGCTTTGTCTCATTGTCTTTGTTCTTTTAAGGGATATGGTTGAGACGGAAACACTTCAAACCATCTTAAATATGAATTGAAATGACGATTGAGTGTTTAGTGCTAATACTCGATATTCAAGGCTCCTTAAATAACTTTATAAGTGGTGTATATGGTGACAAAAAGTACAAAACTATTTTCCCAGTTAACGGCAAATTACGTAGTCTATTCGATTCTTAAATAAAATGTTAATATTGGCGTGCTATCAATTTTTTTATCCAAAAAGCAACTAGTAACAGGAAAATAGATTTGTTTTATAGAATAAACTAGTAAACAAGCTGACGTATCACCTAATGGTAAGTAATAGGCGCCGCCCATGCATACCCATGCATACACCAGAAAGTGCGTTACCGGCCTTTTGGGCATTAGGAATTTAAGGCAAACCACTCGCATTTATACACTCTCTAATAAGGCACTCGATCTAAAAATAACTAAAATTAAAACCAATATTAACATAAATAAATTCACTAACAAACATATTTCATCCAAAAATTGGCGCCTATATAATGAAATACTTAATTAAGTACCTTTGCCTAATCACACCTGTATATAATAAAAATCCAGTTGGCTTGCGTCGCATGTGAGTTGTCACGCAACCAAGTCCGCGTTAGCACGCTAATGTTTAGCACGCCAACTTTTATAACCGGTAATGAATGCGAACTTTAGTTTATAGACGACTTTTGGCGCAGTGACTGATAATGTGATCAGTTTGTTGGATGGCTGACTTAAACAGGATATGGTGAAGAAGTATAAAAACGTTATAAGGGGGTAAGCAGAAGTAAATAGATGAGACTATGGGTACTGAGAGAGTAAGAGTAAGACTAAGTGTGGGAGAGTCATGCTTCGGCACGAACGGGTCGGCTCGACCGGAGTGATACCAAGGCCTCACGGCCACAGAAAACTGACGTGAAGCAACGCTTGTTGTGTTTTTCGTCATATAAGTGAGGTTACCGGAGGCCTAATTACCCCCTCCCCCCACCTTCCCAATCACTCCAATCCCTGAATCCCAAACAATCCTCAAAAGTCCATGGCAACTCCGACTCGACTCCGATTGCTTACCATCAGGTGATCCGTCTATCTCATTTTTATGGTTTATCCCATAAAAAAACTGTAATATGAACTAGTACTGAGGCTTATTTTCAGAAGAGGACGTTGATGAATAGCAGTCTGTGACGGTCGAAAATTTAGTCTGATATCATTAAGAAGGTATGTTGGTAACTGGTTAAGGCATCGACATACCTGACTTACTCATATTACTGTTCGACAAGGCTACTCAACTAGTTTCAAGTCTTAATTATGGGCCCCTGCGTGGCTTGAAACTAATCCAAGATAATATTAGATTCTTTGACATTATTGTATTCTAACAACAATACAAATAATTCAATTCAATGGACCTAATTTTATTATGTAATTATTTTTTAAAACATATCTTTGCATGCCAAGTTAAGACAAAATATGGAGAAAGTATAAACTTTGTTAACACCTATATGTTATGTACCCATGTTTGCAAATGATTAAATGAATATGAATATGAATATGAGATAATATTCAGTGATTAATATTCTACATTGCATATAAAGTCTAATAGCCCTGACTGACACACAAAATAATTTTGTCGAAACAAAATGTAATCTCGCACAAATCTTTGTACAGTTTAGTACACTCATTTCATTCGTTCATTCGTTCAAACGGAATGATATCTATATTCGTGACAGAATCGCGTGCGAAATTCAAATGAACCAACGACGTATCCATATATTAAAAGGAAGCAACATTTTTTGCAAAAAGTAACCTTATTTGTATATAAGGAATGTTTCATTTTCGATTAATACCGTGGAGGATTGACGTGGCACTTTCGTATATAGAATTATTATTGTTTTAGTTGTTTTCATAGGCCTTTGTTTTAGACAATTTGTTTTTATTATGTTTAGTTTTTATTTTGTCTTTAAACTACATAAAATTGGGAGCTTTTTGCACAAAATGCTAGTATGTCATCAATAGTTATCAGTTATTAATAAGACTGCCTCGTTGGCTGAGTGGTCGCGAGTGCAAGGCAAGCCAGGTTGAGCAAGGGGTCTCGGGTTCGATTCCCGGGTCAGGCAAAGAATTACTGGGATTTTTGAAAAATTTCCCAATAGTAGCACGGAATCTGAAATTGTGTCCGGTATATGGCCCCTATTACATGGGACTCATATAACAGAAATAGTGAAAAGTGGGTGTTACATTGTACAGTGGCATTAAGTGACGAAATGTGCACCTCTGCCTATCCCTTCGGGGATAAAAGGCGGTATGTTATATGTTATGTGTATTATCAGTATAGCATGTCCTTCGGTTTTCATTCTGTTATAATGCCTAATTTTGGGCAGTTAGGTTGGTAATATACATTAAGTACTATTCTCTGTATTAAGAATCACATGCAATTTAATACATACTAGTCATTTTCCCGTGGTTTCATCGATATTCGGTTGAATATCTTATACTACTATATAAAGCGGAAGAGTTTCTTTTTTTGTTTGTTTGTTTGAACACGCTAATCTCCGTAACTACAAGTCTGATTTCAATAATTCTTTTTGTGTTGGATAGCGTATTTATCGAGGATGGCTATAGGCTATAAAACATCACGCTACAACCAATAGGAGCTGAGCAGAGCGTGTGAAACCGCGCGGAAGTAGCTAGTGTAGATATAAATACAGCGAGGCATCTAATTATGCCGGCTATGTCTCGAGTGGCTCTCATGTCAAATGACGTCACATGACGTCACTGACGTAGTATCTTGACTGTTTAGGTATATAGTCGTGTATAAGGATGATGTTTAGCGTATTTATTATATATACATATATGAAGAAGTATTTTTTGTTTTTTAAGTGGGGAAAATCATCGAATGACTGCTCCCACCTGGGTGAGGCGGAAGGGAGTGTCAGACTCTTACTGACTAAAAACCACCCCGTTCCTTCTCCTGCACGTCGAGCTGGAGCCCCGGTTACCCGTTAGGTTCTCCGCGACATATATGAAGAAGTATGTCTTTATGTTTTGCTTGTTTATATACAAAATTATTCTTTTGATATTAGAATGAAATCTTCGTATTACAACTTTCGTGAGACATACTAAATTAATTGTTATGTTTTTCGGCTTACTCGCGTAATTATTTGACGAGGAACTCGACTAATTTCAAGCCATGCTAGAGGCTCATATTCTTGAGCAGCATTCCGCGACCCGTGACGCGGCGACTGTCGCGCTGCTACTGTAGAGTTGAGTTCCTCGTCAAATAATTACGTGAGTACGCCGAAAACATAACAATCAATTTAGAATGAAATCATCAGAATTTTTTAATTTTCCGAAGCAAGTCTATTTTAGATTTAGATGACCCAGTGGTTTTAGTGAAGTACAAATCCCCCACTGCCTAGTCTTTTATCCCCAGAAAGCTAGGCGACTTTTGATGGTGTTCCACATCATCAAAAAAAAGTTACCTACTTAGATTAATCGCGAGTCCGGAAAATTGAAAGTACCATTGTAACAAAGTACCTTTCCTTTCTTTGCCATTTTCTCAAACAAAGAAAGCTGAAAATAAATCCTGCACACCTTTTGACATGTTTTCAGTTATTTAATGATTATATTTGATTTAGGAAAAATAGTATTAGGTACATAATATTATTAGCCAAACGTCTACTTGGAACAATAACTGGAAAATACTGGATTGTATGAGACAAATTAAATGAAACTTTAAATGGTATACAATAAAGACTATTATCTATCTATCTACATCAGTTTCAGCCCTGCTTCAGGCTGTAATAAAAGATGACGTCACAATATAACTTACAGCATTGCTAACGTTGATGTCAACGCCCTGTTCCAAAAGGCTTATGATCTTCTCAATCTGCCCTGCGCGCGCAGCCCGCAGAAACGCGGTGCTCGCGTCCGCCTGTTAACAAACAAATTACAACGTTAAACACAATCAGCCAAGGTTCACAATCGCATTAGCTAGCGTCTGTGTAACGGTTGATGAGGAAAAATGTTCCCTAAGGGACTGGGAATAAGTTATATTGTTGGTTGTTGAGGGAAATATGAAGATGGTGGTAATTTTTCGGTGACAGATAGTCTGTGGAGAGTTGAGTCATATATTTGTAAGGTACAAGTAGAACTATACATGTTTAATGGCTACGTCTTTTCATCCCCAAAAGGGGTTGGAAAATTTGCATTGTGTAAAATGTAACATACAATTTTTATCAGTTAATTTACGAATGTCATGTAATTGATATTGAATTGAAAGCCCTACACTGGGCACAATTTCAAACCCCACACTATTTATTGATTTTTCATTTTCAGCCGTGATTATATCACTGCAGGGTAAAGATCCACGATCTCCGGCCACTGTAAGCACGGGTCTGCGGATGGCGAGCACGGGTGACTCGCCGCCCGACCAGAATCAGACCAAGCATACGGCGCGTCGAGTTACGCGCGCGCCTCTAAGAGCCATCAGACCACCACTGGTGGGGCACAATAGGGCTGACGCCAATACAGTAAGACACTAACACTTCCTCTCGCCTCACTCGGCCGAGAAAAGTTTTGGATGATTTTCCCCCTCAAAAAAAGGGTAGATAATAATCTACTCCATACTACTTCTGGAAAAAGTCTCACTCATTTTGCATGACCCCTAGCAAGGCGGGCGCTTTGTCAACTATAACATCACGCCTTCTATTCCGAAGGGGTAGGCAGAGGTGCACAATTACGGCACTTAATGCCACTGTACAATGCAACACACACTTTTCACTATTTATTTATTAATTTATTTCCCGATCCAGTAATCGGACCCGAGACCCCTTGCCCGGCAGTCGCACTTGCGACTACTCGTTGAACGAGGCAGTTGGAGGTAGTCTATCAACCACATGACCAAAAAACCCAGTCTTCTCTTCACAAAAACAAAAAACAAACTAAATATAACTTTGGAGAAAACAAAAAAGATAAAGATCGAATTTCAGAAATCGAACCTTCGCATTCAATTTACTTTCAAACCGAATATATAAAGGTCTACCCACGTTTCCTCACGTCAAAGCCGCTGCCGAGCTCTCGTAGGTACACGACAATACATCTAACTATAAAAACCAGTATTTCATAGCCTCGCTTTGTACGGTTTTTCCATATATTCGACGGTCAGTTTATACTGGTTTATTTTGTTGGGTACAAAAAATACATCCCTTGGGCAAGTGGTTTATTTATTTCCCTTCTCAAATGTTTCGAAGCCTTTCTCGTAAATGAGAAATAGAATCGATTGGGTTAAAGATTTTGAAGACTGAAAAGAAATAAGTAGGTACCTAATCCATAAAAATTGGGGAAATAACTAACTTCCATTTGTATTGTAACTTTCGTGAGACATGCTAAATAAATTATTATGTTTTCGGCTTACTCACGTTATATTTTGACGAGGAACTCGACTAGTTTCAAGCCATGCTAGAGGCTCATATTCATGAGCAGCATTTCGCGGCGAAATGCTGCTCAAATTATTACGTCTCGTCAAATTATTACGTGAGTAAGCCGAAAACATAACAATTAACTTCGATTTATTTAGTTTCTTTGTTAAGGACTTGTTGATGTTGTTTAATTTCAATACTCAAGCCATTTAGGGTCGGCACAGTAAGTACACATATCACTATAACCTATTCTTAAAGTATCTTCTGATTCATTTCGTTGCGGGAACCAAGACAGTTATTCATGTCTCTGGGACGCGCCGGACTTCAGTGTTCCGATGTTGACATGGTTGTTTCTACTGTAGATCCTGGCTTACAGGAGTTGCAGCGGTTTTGGGAGGTTGTAGTGCGATTGTTACAAAAAAATGTCACAATATTCCCTTACAAACTGTTTTATCTTTACTATCATTCTTCATACTATCGACTGCACGGTTGGCACAGTGGCTGGGCAACCGGCTGACGCGCAACGTGTAGCGGTTCCGATTCCCGCACGGAGCAACTATTTGTAAGATCCACAAATTGTTGTTCCGGGTCTGGGTGTCAAGTGTATGTGAACTTGTATGTTTGTAAATGCACCAACGATACAGGAGAAAATCCTAGTCAGAGGCAACCTTTTATAAAAGGAACAATCTATCTTTTCCTACCCCATCTTTCCATTCCACATTAACCAAGTTAACCTCTAACGAATTATTTTCACTTATCAAATAATATCCCTCCTAAAGAAAGATAAACGATAAGTTCATAAGCATAACAAATAACCTTCAGAAGTAAAATAAATAACATTTTCGACAAATACCCTTTCTTTTTCAAAGGTAAATCCTCTCTAAAATATCTAGACTGGCACTAAGAACTATCTTTTGGGACCTAAACAAAAGACGATTGTGTAAGACCTACTTATGAAGCCTAGAAAATCTTGTGAAGTCTAAAAAGTCCGCATTGTCAGCTGCAGAGATATTTTTTCTGTAGTTTTAGACTCAATATAAAATATCCACACCACATTTTGATTCAAGAAAGAGTGGTGCTATGCTGTGCTATAATTTTGCTAAAAATGTTTAAATGGAAAGGTCCAGCATATTTTTACAATAATAAGTTAATTCTTGAAAGTAATTCCTTGAGTTTTCCCTGCCTTAGGCGAGGCGATAGAGAATTCATACGCTTTCGGATAGTTACATAGAATCTAGCATAGTATCAGTACATAATTATAGCAATTGCCTCGCCTAATACCATATGCGACCCAATACAGACTCCCATAACCCTTTAGGGAATTAAAAGTCGTGAAAGTTATGCAAGAAGCTTGTCATAAAAGATTCTCGAAGAAGGCAGAGGTGCATATTACGGCACTTAATGCCACTGTACAATGTAACACCCACTTTTCACTATCTATGTTATGAATCCTATGTAATAGAGGGTGAGCCTATTGCCATATACCGAGCACAATTTCAAACTCCGTGCTACTATTAAGATTTTTTTAAAAGAACCAGTAATACTTTGCCCGACCCGGGAATCGAACCCGAGACCCCTTGCCCGGCAGTAGCACTTGCGACCACTCGGCCAATAAATAAAACCGTTATAAAATGGCAGACTATTCAATTTTCAATGAATTCGAGATTCTTCAGAAAATAAAAGACGTAATATCATTACTTTGGCACTTGAGTAGGTAGGTATTACGTACAATAAGAATTCGAAATATTAAATATTTTTCATCGAAAAGCTACAAAAAATAAACGTAATCCTATTAGCGTTTTCAGAGATTTTATTTTCGTTAACAATAAATCCTCTTAGAGTTTTTGAGACGAGGCACGTGTATTGATTTCGAATATAATTTTAAAATAAGATATTGAAGCACATAAAGAAGCATATCAACTTCAAAGTAATTTCTATTTAATTATTTTTATAGAAAGTCGGTATTTGGTTACCGACTCAAAACGTTGATGTTTACAGATAGATGCACATTATCTAAACAAGCCAGTACTGGATTGGAGGTAGATTGGTGGAAAGAACACTAAAGAAAAGATGAATAGATTGTTTACTTACTAACTTGTAATAGAAAAGAGTTTGTGATCGAATGACATCTGGTAGAACAGTATGGAAAATGAAGTCATATTTTGCTGATCCCAAGAAACTTGAGATTTTTTAGAGGGGAAAATCATTGAATGACTTCTCACATCTGGTGAGGTGAGAGGAGGTATCATACTCTTATTGACTAAATCCACCCCGTTCCTATTGCTGCACTTCGAGCCGGAGCCGCGATAACCTGTTAAGTCCTCCGCGGCTCCATATCGGCATCAGACCTACCATCTGCGGTAGTTTAATGTCCGCGAACGCCGTACGCTCGGGTCTGATTCTGGTCGGGCGGTGAGTTACCCGTACTCGTTATCCGCAGGCCCGTGCTTATGGTGGCCGGATTTCATCTCGCAAAGTAACTTGGGATAAGGTCGAAATGAAGAAAGTTGCAAAGGAATTGACAGTTGGCAATTGTTTCGGCGTTGGATATTGGCCGTCAGTTCATCGCATCGTAATGCATAAAATGAATTGATTTAAAATTGATTGATTTGTATAATAAGAACACACTATAGCACAACCCTAAAGGATATTTAAACCCGTTGTATTATGTAATACTTAAAATCTAGATTCGGCATACTAACATAAAGATCGCGTATATTTTAACTGCGGTGATAAAGTACGACTGAGGTCAGACCGCCTGTTACCCTTGTCTGAAACGTCTGAACGCGTCGGCTTAAGTTTTGGATCGATCCGAGACTGGAGGTCAAAAGTATAAAAGCGAAAATTTTAGCCAAACGTAGGGATACGGGTACAACGGGATTTCGAAAAAGAAAATGTTTGAATTTCAACTTCTGTTCTGTCTAGGAGTAAGTGACCTTTTAATTTAGTAGATTTACTTATTTGTTTACTTATATTAAAATTGTATGTCGTGGTGGCCCAGAGGTTAAGACGCCTGCTTCTCGTGCATGCACATGGGTTTGAAACCTACACATGTACTTTATAAGATTATTTAGACACCACTGGCAAACGGTGAAGGGAAACATCGTGAGGAAACCGGGGCTTATAATATCTAATTATGAGTTTGAAGCGTGGTGATTAATGTTCAAACCTTCTCCGTTCGAGAAAAGACCTTTGGTCAGTGGCTACTTACAGGCTGTTGATGTTAATGTTGATTAGTTCTATAATAGACTGACATCACTCTACAACCACAAAAACAAACAAAATCCTAGTTCGAAAAATATAATAAAACATGGATTCCACAGAACAGCTGGATTTCGACAGAAATTGTAGTGACGGTGTCAGCCGAATCTAAATTCAGCCAGTATAAATCTAGAATGCCTATCGATCTAGACTCAGATTTAGGCTAGCCGGCGGGGATGAATAATGTATTACATGTCCTGTCCGGCTTTATTTTAGGCTAGGTGACATTTATATAAAATTACGTGTCTGCCTG